AAAATTAATTTACTTTTAATTTTACATTTTACAAAAAAAACTCATCAGAGACAATTTAAAGGAAATTTTCTAAAGAAAAATTTGAGTGGTCACAATAAAAGATTGCGTTAAATTTATTGACCTTGGATGACGGCAAAGACGGCGGAGTATGGCCAATCCTGGCTTTCAAGATCCACGCGTAAGACGAAATTGTCGCTGTAATGAAATGAAAAACCCGAGGACCAAGATTTTTTGATTGATTTATGTAGATGAAGTCCTACCATATATGAAAACCCATGTTACCGGAAAAAATTGTAGTAACTTTGGCCGCCATATTGATTTTAAGGGTGAAATTTGTTTTTCAATATATTGCAGTAAATAACAATTGGACAAAATTTTTGTACAAACATTTTTTGTAGATATTAATAATATCTATAACTTTCATTAAAAACTTTTTTTCCTATTTGTAACAACACAAAAGTTATAAACAAAAGAATTATTATTAAGGGATGCAAATTTTCAAGATCCACGCGTCGCAAATTCGTCAAAGATCTATATAGTCGATGGTATGTCACTAGTTCATAAAATTCAGTTAAAAAAATTCATTTCATTTGGTGATTTCGCTCAAGCATATTTCTCAACAATCCTTTTATTGCACTCACCTGATGTTAACAGAATTGATGTTGTTTTCGATAGGTACGATAATTTATCAATAAAATTTTTGGAATCAGAATTACGAAGCAAGGGACAACATGTAAAGAAAATGATTATTTAAAATAATTCTACGAAAATTCCAGTTGATACAAAATCTTTTTTTGCAAGTTCTGAAAATAAATTGCAGTTAGTTAAATTTCTATGTAAGTATGCTTTAAAGGAAGTAAAAATTCAGGAAAATCGTGAATTGTACATTTCCGGTGGGTTTGACGACCCGACTAAATGTTATAAGTTGCAAAGTAATTCTATTTCCGAAATTTTTGCATTAAAATCAAATCACTTAGAGGCAGATTCAAGAATGTTTTCTCATATATTTCATGCAGCAGACACTCAGAATGCTCATATCATTATTCTTAGCGCCGATACGGATGTTTTTATCTTAGGAATTTATTTTTGGCAAAAGCTTTATATAATAGGTTGTCAAGGTCTGTGGTTTGAAGGATCACAGAAAAAGAAACGTTATCTAGGATGTCATTTAGCAGCCGAATCCCTTGGTGATAACGTTTCCAAAATTTTACCAGCTTTACATTCTTTAACTGGTTGTGACACTACTAGTCGACTGGGTAATAAGAAAAATTGCTTAAAATCTGCAACATTAGACTTTATTCAGGCAAGACTTTTAAATTTTGGGGATGAATTTCTAGATTTTGAAAAATTTTCAAACGTAGAGAAAGTATGCACTTATTTATATTCACAAAAAGAAATAACAGCTGATGAAATTCGACACAAACTAATTTCTCAAAATATTGGTTTTGGTTTAAATTTATCTAGAATAATATGCACATCTAATGCCTTATATTTACATTGTTTGAGAGCTTCCGCACAAACATATCTATGGAAAAATGCATTCCAACCTCTAATTGAACCAATTGACTTTCTTCAATTCGGGTATGAATTACGGGATTCTAATTTATATCCGATACAAATGACGAAACCGTCTCTTCCGGAATTGTTAATTAAACCATGTAAATGCTATTCTAACTGTAAAACAATGTCCTGTAGTTGTAAAAAGTCAGGCTTAGTATGTATTTCACTATGTAAATGTGTAAACAGTGATTGTAACAATTTAAATAATAACATGTAGATAATGCAATTTCCACTTATTCTACAGAACGCTAAATATTTTTTCAAATATACATTTGTTTATTAAAAAAATTGTTATTTCCAAATGTTGAATTACTTGTATTCTATTTGACATGTTTCAGAATAAAATATCATTTATAAAAAAAATTCCAATAGTAATTACAAAGTTTGTTTATGAAATTGTTTATAAAGATTGTTTTAAACAATAATTATTTATTCAATTGTTATCATACTTTAAACTTTTCAACACTCATTTCACTTTTCCATTACATTATAGCGACAATTTAGCCTTACGCGTGGATCTTGAAAATTTGCATCCCTTAATAATAATTCTTTTGTTTATAACTTTTGTGTTGTTACAAATAGGAAAAAAAGTTTTTAATGAAAGTTATAGATATTATTAATATCTACAAAAAATGTTTGTACAAAAATTTTGTCCAATTGTTATTTACTGCAATATATTGAAAAACAAATTTCACCCTTAAAATCAATATGGCGGCCAAAGTTACTACAATTTTTTCCGATAACATGGGTTTTCATATATGGTAGGACTTCATCTACATAAATCAATCAAAAAATCTTGGTCCTCGGGTTTTTCATTTCATTACAGCGACAATTTCGTCTTACGCGTGGATCTTGAAAGCCAGGATTGGCCATACTCCGCCGTCTTTGCCGTCATCCAAGGTCAATAAATTTAACGCAATCTTTTATTGTGACCACTCAAATTATTCGTTAGAAAATTTCCTTTAAATTGTCTCTGATGAGTTTTTTTTTGTAAAATGTAAAATTAAAAGTAAATTAATTTTCAAAATTTGCATCCCTTAATTTTAATAATTCTTTTGTTTATAACTTTTGTATTGTTACAAATAGGAAAAAAAGTTTTTAATGAAAGTTATACATATTATTAATATCTACAAAAAATGTTTCTACAAAAATTTTGTCCAATTGTTATTTACTGCAATATATTGAAAAACAAATTTCACCCTTAAAATCAATATGGCGGCCAAAGTTACCACAATTTTTTCCGGCAACATGAGTTTTCATATATGGTAGGACTTCATCTATATGAATCAATCAAAAAATCTTGGTCCTCGGGTTTTGCATACTCAACTTCCCCCAGCGCCTGCACTAAGACTAACGCTCTAACCACTATGCTAACGACACGTGTGTACAGAAAAGTATTAATATCTCAGTATCATTCAGACATACAATTATTGAGTCAAAGATGAGAAAAAAATAGGGATACGTTAGAAATAATAAATTAAACTAAATTTTTAATAATTAAATTAAATTACTTTATTCATAGTAAGAAGTATAATAGTATTTTAATAGGAACCAAATTATTATTGAGATTAAAGTTTAAATTTTGTTTATAATTTTAATTTGTTTAAATAATGTATTATTTACAAAGTTAGACAATTGTGTTAAATTGTTATTATTAAATTTAATAAGAATAAAAAATGAACAACTGAAAAGTAAAATATTAATTTTTTTCAATGAATTTATATTTATAAACATTCATAAACTTTTTTTATAATTTTTTTCAAGTTTATGTCAAAAAAGCAATGTTGGCAAAGAGCGTCGTGAACAATTTTTCTATACTCAGCCAGCACTTGCCGCCGTGGCTTGTCCAAGCTTTGGCGAAACAAAAATTCTGTACTGCGCCAGCACTAATTGTCGAGGCTCGGCTAGACTACGCCGAACAATCGTCTGAGTACTAAGCCAGTGGTGAACATCGGCACTACACTGGCATTTCCCATTGGGATGTTGACTAGTTTGTTTATCAAGTTTTCCTCAACAGTCGACGCGAGTTATTCATTTAAATTATGACTTGTTCGACTGTCGAATGGAAGCTCCTCAATTCCCCGACATCTTTCGCACTGGCTTGAAAGCAACCCCACGTTCAGCCCGCTCGTGGCGTTAATTCCAATTCTCTCGCTCTTTACCAAGAATTCATTTACATCCGACGAATTACCCGGGCATTATCGGGGGAGACAGAGAGTCGAAAACGAACAGATCCGAGTGGACGATCGATTCTGCTAATTAGATTCCACTACGATTACGATTATAGTCGCGAGAGCTTCGAAACTTGAAAGCAGTGCACCATAATCCATGTGAGACAATGTATCTTATAGTGTTCGTTGTTTCAAATAAAATTGATGACATTTTTAAAATTGAATCCAAATAACATTAGGCACACGAAGGTAAAATGAAAATGAACTCGCGGTAACTTACTGACGCCTAGAATGCGTATATGCTCGTAAAAGTATATCGGGAGCGTTTATATATATTAAAAAAGTGAAATAAAAGACCAAGTTGAAAAGAAAGGAGGTAGAGCGTGTTTGTCGATGCATCGCGACGCGAGTGTTGTCGGCGTTTTTAATCGACGCCACTTGTTTCTAACGACCCTCTTTTGTTTAAAGCCCTTCACCGCACTTGAAAATCTACCTCCACCTCTTATCATTATCTTTTGCCAGAACTTTGAACACCCTTTACACTTGGAGTGAAATTACAGCATTCCATGTGCGTTAAATTGATCGTATTTTTCCAGTTGTTTTTTTTCTCTCGCTCTCTAAATGTTTTAGCATTTCTTTTTAGAAAAAATCCTATTTTAAATAAAATATTTTTCATTAAAAATTATTATCCACCAGTTATAAGTTAGTTAGGTAGTTATAGGTCATTTATTTAATGGACATGTACAAAATTTTCAATTTCATTGTAAAATGTAATATATTAATTAGGAACTTTTTCAGTTTTTAAAAAACCAACGTTGCTTCGAAACGCTCAATAAAATTTCTGTCTAAAAAGAGATTATTAATTGGATTATAATTGGAAAAAGGAAAGAAAATACAGTGTAAAGTTGCTTTAATTGTTGGAGAATTTCCTTTGCACAAATTAATGACGCTGACAAGTCCTCGACCGAGGGAAAAACTCATTTCGTACGAACAATTATTTTTTTGCCTCGAAATTAAAATCTCAATTTGAGCTTTTGCAGTACATGCATTATTGACACTTTATAATGTTTTTCAGCTTTCACACTTGAATTTAATTGCAGTTTAATTAAAAAAAATGACGATCAAGAGAAATTTTGTTAAATTCAAAAAGGCATGATACTTTCCACAAATGTTCCGTTCAAAAATTGTAGTTTTCAGATAATAATTAATGTTTCTTCTAATGGTAGATTAATTTTGCTATATTCTAATGTAGAAGCAATATTTGAAAAAATGTATTATTAGAAATTCTCTGTCCGTAGAGGAAAAGTTTTAAAATAGATATCTGGAATATACTATATTCTCGTAGGGATTATCTCCCACTCGATTTTGCGAGAGAAGTGAAGTGCGAAATGGCATAAAATCGTTTATATTAAACGCGCCCTGGACTTTCCGCGTGGTTGATATTTTCCTCGTTGGCCAAGTAATTTCCGCTGATTCAAACCTAAAACAGTTATGGTGAAAAGTAACACTCGCGAGAGAGGATTTCCACAGGAAAACATCCAACTGAAATACTCTTCCAGTGAGAATAGAACATCGAGATGGCAAACGTGAATAATGAGTAAGTGAAACATAAATAAAAAAATTAATAAATACCGTGTTAAATACCTAAATGACTGCTCAAGTTTGTGTTTATAATTATATGAGAGAGATATCCCTTCGATCGACATAATATAGATAAACGGATCCTACAAACCATGTAGCAAAGCACCTACAATCCTCAAATCATTGTAAGATTTAGGACTGCGAATTATCATGCAAGGCGCTCTCCACCCATTCTCAATTTCACCCTAAAGGTCACGCATAGTCATGACAAATCGCCTTTAATTAATCACGCATTGTCAATTCAATACGAAATTTGTTGCCAAAAGACCTTCAGACGAGCTTTGCGTTCAAGTAAAGAGAGGAATGAATGAGGGACGATAGGGCACTTGGATGTCATGAGAAAGAGTTGAAACAATTGTTTTACTGGCCCCAGGATGAGAGTCAGCGACCATCATGCCGGCCTTAATTTAGGAAAATCCGGTTCGGAATCGCGCGATCATTGGTGCGTTTTGAGAGGGGAGTGAATGATGGCTCGCGAGCTATTCATACACAAACTGTGCGCTCCACAATTCCATTGTCTATTGGTGTGGGTTTAGAATATAGGCATATAGCGGTTAATCCGATAATCTCTTGGTTCGCGTTCGGTCCATTGGGCCAACATCCACTATTCCTCCCATTCTCATCGCACTATTTTTGCTCTTATATTGCTCCCTTTTATTACCACAGAATTTATATATTGCACCTGAAATTCTCTAACCTCTTTCGCTTGAAAATATTAATCGAAACGCGCGCATTTCTATATATATATATATATAAAAATAAGGTTGATAAAAAATTTCTATTTCAACGTAAAAAGTCTTCGCTCGAATAATTTTCCACCGCGAAAGTGCTAATGCATCCCGCTAAAAGTAATTCACTGCATTTTATGGGCCAAAAGAAACAAAAAGAAGCTTTTGAGGTGAAAGACTTTTTCAAATTTACAAAGTATCCTAAGAAAATTAAGAGTGCGCGAGAGTTAATCCGAAAATCCGTTTCAATTCAACAACTACTTTACCTCCACCATTTATCTCAATGGATTCTCTGCTCTTGTTGCAATAAAGGCCAAATGCATTACGAATACATTTTTTCAAAACAAAAATAATCGCAAAGATTTTTAAAAACTTGTTGTACTAAAACTTAACTTTGTCATTTTCGATGGTTGCGGTATTATACCTTTGTAATTTTATAAACTTTCTACATAGTATAATTAAAATTTTAAAAACACTGAAAATTCAGAAACTTTTAAAAATTAGTTTTTTGCAATTTTCCAGAGTTTTCTATAGAATTTAAAAATGAAACTCACTCAAAATGAAAATGTTGGAGAATTTTTGGTATTGCAAATTAAACGCATTCCAATTTCGACATGTAATTTTGAAACTTTCACAACTAAATTCTCTATTGGAATCCTTGATATTCTCTTGCAATAATCTTACAAAATTCAATTATAGTTGAGTTCTTTTAACAATGGAATCTCTATTTTTTAAAATGCAAATAATCCTCAAACAAGAACAAAAGGATAAAGGTATATATTTTTTCAAGATGAAACAAGACACACTTTGACATGTAGAATGAAGGATTTTTGTAAAACAGAAATAATAATGATAAGAAGAAGAAGAAGAAGAAGAAGAAGAAGAAGAAGAAGTTTAAAAATATGAAACGTTTCGTTCTATGAATTTAAACTGAATGTTCTCTTATCATACAGAAATCTTTTGAAAACAATGGCAGGTTCCTGGGCAAAACCACGTGTAACATCTAGCTACAGTTTCGAGTCCGATGGCTGAATGCAAAATTGTTCTCGTGAATTCTCCCACATTCCCTCACCACCCACACTGCTGTTTGCTCACAGAATGCTAAGCAGATAGATTCAAGAAGGGTGTTTTGCTTTGGCTCCTCCTCACCCTCTTCATATCTAACCCCAACTTATTTTTTTCTATATTTAGGATACTAAAATTTCTCTTTCCATAATCCGATCGTCTTACATATTTAATCCTCCGTCAACCGTAAATTCTTATTAATAGTTTACACAATGAAATCCATTTTTCCCCTGTCTCATATAGGTAATAGACTAATAGACCTTCTCTCCCTCTCTTCTTTTGTAAATATTTTACAAGCAGTAACATAGTTGCTAAAAGATTTTAGTCTTTTTCAGGTCCTATTAACAATGATTGTTGTAATTAATTCTAGTTGCGATAGCGATTTATAAATGATAGTCGAGGTCGACATTATTTGCACCTACAATTCAATTGGGAATTTGAAATAGGACTCAAGAAGGTTTCTTGAAATTTAGAATAGAGTCTTTTTCGAAATGTTTAAAGGAAATTCAATCCTTATTATACAAATATGAAGATTAATAAAGCTTTTTTTGAATCCCTTCAAACGTATGATATTATTTTAGAATGGTAGTTTTAAAATAATCCCGATTCAGTTACTGGTGCGGCCAATGAGGATGGATTAACGTTTTTGGGAGAAATTGAATTGAATTTGATCAAAGTGTAACGAGGAGCTGCACAGACACAAACAGCAATCAAGTGTCGCATTTTGATCGAGTTAAAGGGCATTGATTGGATCTCACGCATGGTCGAGGCATCATAGTCTCTCGCCACTCGTTCCCTTTAGTCGTGTCTCTCTTAATTATAGTCTCCGGAAATTATATTATTACTCATTAAAATTCCGGAAGCGAAATTGCCCAAGGCGCTTTATAAACTCGGATATATGTATAATGTGAAAGCACGTGGTTTATTTGCACGAGTGTTTATTTTTTCTTCTTCTTAATGTTTTCCGTTTCCACCGGATTCTTCATTGGCCAAAATAGTGATATGTGAGTGACTTTGTAAAAGTTTCTGAAAATTTGTACGTTAATCTAAATCAACTTGTCTAATGATGTTTTTTTATTAGAAAATTTCACAGTGCGGGGTCTCTCAATTTGTCAGGTTGCAAATCGAATTCTTTACATCGACATTCATTACACAAATTCCATTGAAGCAGGGTTTACCCCTTAATCAAGACTGAAACATCGTTACTGACACGTTAATCAGAATGATTGAGTTCGTAGCGGATTTAAACTTTTTCCTAGCGTCCTCGTCACATTCACTCTTCCATCTTTTTATACATCAAATAACAAAAACAGGACTGGAAAGAGCTCAACCTTTTTTACCGATTGAATGAAAAAAGGCAAACTCGCATGTAATGCGAAAAAGAAAACAACAAGTCCAATGTGAATTAATTATTATTTTACTCGTAAACAATTGTTTTAATAATAATAATAAACATTGCCGAGTGAAAATATTTGCAAGTTTTCGTTGTCTTGCAGTGGATTTAGTGGAGGAGGAACCGTATATATACAAACTTGTTGTGCCTTGTACGAGTATATATTTTAACGAAAACTTTCTCGTTTCCATCTAATCTATAGAATTTAAAGAGTAAAATTTATGTTCTGCAGTGCGCACTTGACTGCAAATCTGCAATATTCGTAATTGCAAGGCACAAAGTTCAACCAGGATGAAGTGGGTAATCCCCTAATTATTTTCACTTACTGCCTCCGGCTCCTCATTTTAGAATTTAGTCTTTAGAGTACACAACTAAACTTGCATCTCCAAGGAAATTTCCTCCCACCTTCATTCTTGTCTTCATATTTCATTTTCCTTCTCTTTCCTTTCCTTTCCTTTCATTAAATTTTCAAGGAAATTGTTTCTTCTTCATCCAAAAATTATGCAAAAGGAAAATTCATTTTTCAAGCAGCTGAAATTTATTTTTACAAGAAAAAGTGATATTCCTTTTATTTGGAGATAATCATAGACTTGGATTTTATTTAAGAAAACCCAAGAAAGGTGGTACGTACCTAAAAAATGACTTGTCGTAATACAATCAACTTCATGAATGATGAAGTATGATTAATATTTTTAATTTCCATGTTAACTCTACTAATCATATGAATATATATATGTATATGTACCTATGTATGTACATTGTTTGAAGTAATAGAGCCGAAATTAATTAATTAATTAATTAATTAATTAATTAATTAATTATTTAATAGAGAGAGAATTCAGCTACATAAAATGGAAATTCTTTTTGCTAATTTGAATTGTTTAATTTTCATAATTATCATATTTGCCCACTGGTGGAATTACGTTTCATTATAACTTTATTATGTATATGATTTTCCAAGCAGTTTTACCTTATTTCACCTTTTAATCATATTTTCAGAATCCACTCAATTTCGAATTCCCAATTTCATATCAATTTATCAATTTCATTTGCAAACGATATACATACATTAGTTTCATTTTCGCAATGTAAAATATCCTATCAAATTCATTTCACAGTTTAATGAAAAAAGTTGATAACATTTTTACTACTGTTAAATGAATATTTGCGTCGAATCATTATAAAATTATATATGAAGTGTGTATGATTATAATACTCCACCAAATACAATAACAAAATTCACAAAATTATTATATGTTTACCCATACTGAGAAGAGAATTAATTTAGTAAAAACTTTATTTATCAAATTTCCATATTTAAATTATTTTACATTCTTATATTTACACATTACATAAGGCATTTTAGTTTTCCATGAGTGTAATCAATAATTATAAAATTATCATTTCATTTGTTAAAAGATGATTTAAATTTCCAGTAAAAATCATTTTACGGAAATAATTTTTCTCTTCCTGAATGAATCCTTATTGTTTCATTTTTTTACCATTTTTCTAAATTTAAAGTCAAATTTTCTATAAAATAACAACCATATAAAGAGAAGAGTCTCTAAATTTAATTTCGCCACCAGAGAATTTAACGGTAAACAGGTAGATTACGAAATTTGTCAAGAAAATTTCGTGGAAACACGAGACATATTTGCCCACATTTACTTTTGTTTTCGAAACAAAAAATGTCAACGTGTGTGTCAGCGTAAAATGAAAATAAACAAAGGAAAAAATTCATTCTCCCTAGACATAAAAGTGCCCCATCAAATCTTATTTGTTTGTTAGTTTAAAAATTTTCTTGAAAAAAAATAGATTTTATTATAGGTAACTTTTTCATCACGGTCTTCAATTTATATTTCAATTAAATTGTCTTTTTTTTAATGGAAATTATCAAATGTACTTTCAAAAATGTATCATCAACATGTATTGGATTTTAAATAATGAAAAATTCCAATTTATATTGAAATAATAATATTCGAGGTAAATTGTAATATGTTTTGACCGAAATCCCTCATAAATGGGTCGAGGAAGGGTGGGCGAACGCAAAATTATATATATTGAATTTACAATTTAATCCGCAGGTAACGGTCGACAAAGCTAAAACAGCTAATGGGAGTTTGTGCGTAAATTTTTGTTTATTAAAACGATTAAAAATTTCGAATCGATGAAAAATCCAGTACTAGAGAGAAAAAGAGTTTTATGAGAGAATAAAATAATAACATGAAAAAGGTTCGCGCGCACTCGGTAATAAAAACCGATGGTACTTTTCACATTTTCAAAACGTTTTTTTTTTCTTATTTAAGAGCGTTTCACTTGGATCGTAAATTTTTAAAACTGAGGAAACAGTTTACGTTTGAAAGTTTTGTAAATTGAAGACAGTAGTAAGGGTGCTTTTCAAGTGATAATAAAAAGCATCGACCTTTTTGTACATTACTATTATGTTGCTTTATATTTTATTTATTTGTAAATTTGAATCAATACAATAAATATTTATTTATTGCCTCGAGAAGGTGGCAAGGCTCAAAGTCAAGTAAACTTTAAACAACTAGTTTTTCCGAGCATTAAAATAAAAATTACAGTCTGTCTGAAACTGACTTTTACCAAGTGCTGCAGCAAAACTGCATTTAATATTGAAAATAGTTGTCAATTGAAAAATATTGTCATCCTTTGAAAGCGATTTCGAGTAAGTATGTAAAATTCGATGAAACGATTGAAATTTCTCGAGTCGGGAAATGCATGTTGCAGCATGTTAAAAATGTAGGGAAGGAGGTGAGAAGCTTTCTTGTTGTGACTTGTGACAGAATGGCGAGAACAAAATATTCATTCCCTAACTCTTACTATCGTGCGAAACAAACAGATCCTTTTCTTTTCGCAAGTTATGCATTTTATTTTTCGAGAGCGCGGTTGCTCACACAGGATTCCTCGGGGATTATCTTATCGACCTTTTCTCTCTTCCCGGTCGCAGAGAGTGGAGGCCTTATAAACCAAGCGACAGTCTCGCACTTGTTTTGTCCGACTCTATAAACTAAATAATTAATTTTGTGCCCAATTTGACAACTATCTAGAATAAGAAAAGTTGAATTTAATTTATTTATTGTTGCAGGTCCTTTTATTTCCAGAAGAAGGCTGGGCGAGAAGTGCAAGTAGTTCCTATTGGACCTTGACGCCATTTTGGTGGAGTCGAAGTCGGTGCAAAGTAGTCGAAGTTGCAGGAACGAGAAGGTGAGTCCTTTGTCTCAATTCTAAATTTCTAATTCAAAATGATGAGTTGGCTTTCATAGAGTAATGTTTACAACCTAGTAAAAAGTAATAAGATGAAAAGTTATTAATTGGAATAAGTGTAATAATTGAGACAGTAATAATTACCATAAAAATAAAAGAAATTTTTCGCCGAGATAATGGAGTCTCGAGAATATAATGGGGTCAGACGCAAGAGCTCACTATGGAAGAGAACATTTCCTGTTATAATGCTTCAGGCTTGAGGCAGTCATCCACCTTCTCTTTCTGTCTCTCTTTCTCTCTGATAATGTTTCAGTTTGCAGCTAGCTGATTAGAATTTCTGTAGCCTTCGTAGCCTTTGCGTTGTTCACCGCAATGAGTTTCCAGGCACTTCACTCCAACAAATGTATACACAAACACACAGGATACTTACATATCCTTGCAATGAGGTAATTGTCCCACTATAACTTGCATAGGAATTTGCCATGGCAAAAATAATTCTCCCTTCCTAAAAGGAAGCACTTGTTTAAATTATGTTTTCAGAACTGATAGCAAATGTCTTTTGCATTTGCATGGAAATATTCATACGCGCATTCAATGTATTTTACATTTAGAATGCATTTGTGCAACATTCAATTTTACATTTCTAAATTGGTATCTGTAAATTCTAATAATTTGTATTTCTGTCCCTTCCGAGGTAATTGGAGTACAATGAAAAATGGGGTTCCATTTCTTTCTCTTTGAGGCAATCAGGTTGGTTTCGCACGAGCTTCTTAATGTACAGTCTCAAAAATTAGATGGAAACTTGCAAGTGAACGTAAAATAAAATGCGAACCCATACCTATAATATTCTGGAAATAAGTAATGCTTCTTTTAAGAATATATTTTTATTTCCCAAATATCTCTTATATTAATATTTAAAGAATAATTATTATATATTATGCATAAAATATGAAGAGATATTAAATTTTTCTGCGTATTATTATACACATTTTGTTGTTATAATAAAATTGCAAGTTTTTGAAAAATGAGTGGGAATTGGATCGAGGATAAAAACTTTGACCAATTATTTTCATCCAAACTTTGTAAAATTCCATCTTATTCAGTTAAGTACAAGTTCTTGCATTATAAGCTCTACTTGAAAGCTTAAAGGGAGAGAGCTCGCTCTTGAAGAAGTGAGTGTATACAATGGAAGAGTGGAAAGACGAGCTTTAAAGACTCTTTAAAATAGGAGATTTTTTCCAAGTACTTCTGGGAATCATAATGAGACAAAGTTATAAAAATTATACCGTTCAATGTTCTTCCGTAAGAAAAGTGAATTTATTCTTAAAGAAAGAATGAAAGAAAACTGTTTTTTCCCAAGTTTAGTAATTTGTTTTAATTCTCGTACAGCAGCAGAACATTCGCTAGTGGATTGAAAGATGCGCCTTTATTAAAGAAAAATGAATTCAAGATTATCAAGATATTCAAGTCACTCTTGACTTGATACCACTCTTGGTATCTCTTTGTGTCGGTCCAGCTCGCATATTCAAAAGTTGGCCCCGGGGGAGCCAAGTCCACAGCATATGAGCAAGTCCATCCAAACACTGTCTGTGTTTGCAAGAGTCATCTATCGAGCTCATTTCCTCTCTCCTGATTCGCCTTTGTCCTTGTTCTTCATCTTGCAGACAAACCCCACGAGGGTTTACGTAGCACTGAACTCAGTTTACCGAAGGGAACCACGTTTCTCCTCCGCCCACCCCACTTCCATTTCTCGTTCATGGCAAAAGGGATTTGCAATAGAGATCCCCGAATTCCATGCAATGTCCATTGGAATTGTGAACGAAGCCGGAGAATACTCCAGATCTTCTCCACTATTTCCAACTAAAATCGCTTCAACAGCCACTACCATTCTTTCGGTAGTGGCTGAGCAAAGATAATATCCTCGAGACTTTATTGCTTCCATGCGAGCGCTACGAATATTAGAGAATTTGTGTCTGACCTTTTCAAAATTTACTAGATTCCCACAGAATAATGGCGAGAGTGCTTATTTTCTTGCTTTATCAAGATTTTCATTACTTCAATTTTCTTTGCCGGGATTTTCTCTAATTTCATAATAGTGCAACACGTTATACGAAAGGAATGTTTAGATTTGAAAATAGTTTCGTTCAATCATTACACTGTTGAACAAAAATTATTTCATTAAAAATTTACCGGCAATGAATGTAAATGAAACCTTTATTACTTGTGCGTGCACGTTTAAATTCCAGCTTTTGCTATTATTTTGAAAAGCGCTCTGTAGTCGCGACTTGATTTTAGAGGAGTTAAAAACAGTGAAGGGTGCCGCAATGCTAACGAGTCACGTAGAGGAACCACTTCGGGGCTGAATTTTTATGAAAGCGCTCTCTCAAACATCAAAAGCATAGCCTTCTATTTTCAGATTTATCCCCCTGACTAACTTAATTAAAAATATATATATATATATATATATCATTTAGAAATAATGTCAATGGACATTTTCATTATACTTGTTACTACGATTATTGTTTCAATAATTTCACCTTTATTTATTTATTTTCATCTCCTAGACAAATTTTTTTAAATTATTATAGTAGGTGTAGTGAAATTACAAATATTTCAAATAAAAATTAATAAAATACACAAACCTTTGAAAACTGAAAGGAAACTATAGGTTCAAACTGAGTGCAACGATTACGAATACCACAAATTTTAAATTGGATTATTTTACAGCTGCAGACTCGTAGAGTCGATTGTATGACTTTCAGAGAGAGAGAGAGAGAGAGAGAGAGAGAGAGAGAGAGAGAGAGAGAGAGAGCATTGTATTTTTTTTTCAGCTGCGAAAAGTGTTCGAGCCGTGTAAAATTCTTTCTAGTGAAAAGCTCGTGCTCTTGGGAAAAAGAAATATCACGTCATACCTCACACATTTTTATTATGCTCAACACATTCGAGCAAAGTGAGTAGAATTTTTCCACGTGCTACATGGAAAATTGGGATTCGTTCGTCATACTTGTATTCTTTCTTTTTCCTCTTTTTCTCTTCCCTGCTTTTACAATTGAACCAACAGTATATTAATTTTGTAATTCACACAAAGGAGAGGGGGCAAGTTTTTGCATAAAAGTGCAAATAATCACTTTACCCACTTGGATTATATTTTCGTCACGTGACGAGCTTTACAAGTTTTACGAAATGAAGCTGAATTTTACAGTGCATGCGAAACGAGGTTTAAATGAAAAAAAGCAGACCGTTGTTGACAGTCATTTTTAATTGAATACTCTTTTATTGGCAGCACAATTTAATTTTGAATTTACTTTATTCTAGGATAAATTTGGATTATTTTCAAGTTGAAAAATTGTCAGTTTCAAGGAATGTGCATACTTTCTGTATTTTAAACAGTTAAACTATTACACATTGCACTGATTAATAATATTTTTTATTGTAAAATGAAATTCGAGTTTTAAAAGAGGGACGCACAGGACTTTTACGGGCCGTAAAAATAAGACAGAGGAATTTAAAAGGTAGACAGTGGATAATCCGAGTGATCGATATAGGGACGAAACGTAAAATTTACGAGGAGCTTTATTCAGCCTCTCTACTCTCTCTACTCTCTGTTTTCTCTCGGCAACTTTGACGAGAGCAGAAAGTCAATGGCACCCAGCACCACCGGCCATAGTGGAATTTAAATCGGCCGTTGAATCCGCACTTGAATAGAGGGGACGCTTAAACTTTTAATGATCATCGTTGGTTTTGAAACGGCGGAGTCGCTTCGAAATAAGCCCTTCTTTCAGTCTTTGAGGGAAATCCGCTATATAACACGACTTCCTCTCCTCAATCTCTTGTCACTTCTCCGAAAATGTTGTCGACTTTTTATTATTCTATTCTCTTCTTTGTTCTTTACGAACAAAATGAGGAAATTTCTTTCAGCAAAGGGCAACTAGCAAAATATCTAATTGCAATTCAAGTATTTCGGCAACGGTTTATTCGAAATTCAAATTGCTTAAAAGTAAATTTGCTTTTCTACCGTGACAATCACAGTTTTCACCCCCGAAAGAACTATTTATTTTGTCGAATCGTAAAAGAATACTAACAACCATGGATATCGCAATTTCGTACCTATCAGGTCATGTCAATTGGTTGGGAGTACTCTCCTTCGTTCGGTCGAAAGAAAGCAATAAAGGACAATCTTTGCCCGCCGGTCAAAGAAAAAGAGAGCGATATTGGCTGTATTGCAAAAACCCTTTCAACAAAAGAGGAAAATTCGGTGGTTAACCTTTTTTATCCATAAACGCGACCATCGCAACGCTACGTGAGTCGTGCCCTTCTACGTCAAGTTAATACATTATATAATATTTTAAAACATTTTTTAGTATTTATTTTATTTCCTTTACTTTAAAAAATTAAATGCGCATTTACAAGTTTGTGTAGAGTTTTTTTGCAACGAGTTAAAAGTAACGGATAATTTTGGTCTGGCACAGGCTTGCGCGGTTGTTAACCCGCTTTTTCTGTCAGTTAATTTTATGCAACGTTAAAGTGCTGCGTTCCTATACATACGGAATAGTTGTAGGAGTAATGGGGTTATCCTGCATACGCTTTTATGCGAGGATTCCTTTCATTAAAATTTTAAAGCAACTGCCGTTCTACATTACTCAACTGCAAAGTTAATCCCTCGAATCGGTTGTTACGTCGTCCTCGAGAATGAGGAGCAACGCGAAACTAATAGATGTACGTACGATTGAATGTCGATTTCGGAATCTATTTTCCAGTCATGCAATATGAGAGAATTGAATAATTAAAGGTTTCAAAAGTGGATTAGAGATGAACTCATAAAAAATGATCACTTCGTTAGATGTCTCTTTGTCTGGCGGCGGTCGGAATATAGCACTGCACATAATGATTTAACGCTGGTGGCAAGCAGTGGCAAGCAGTGGCAAGCGACTCGTGAGAGGGTAAATTTTCTAGGGGTAAGTTGACTACCGCGTTGAGGGCTGCCACGACAACGAGAGTGAGGCTTTCAGAGGGTTTATGGTTTTAGAGGGAGCGATAGTTGAAGAGCCTAGCCGCGCGGGGTTGAGGGTGAAAAGCGATCATCTCTCTTGTGTACTCAAACATCCACCAACACTGCAATATGTACTTAGCATTATTCCAGTGTACATGTGTGGCTCCGAAAGCTCAAGTGAGAAGGGAACACTGCAACGGAATGCTTATTTCGAGGGGCACCAATAGCGTCAAATGACGTTGGAGGGTCAGGGTAAGACTCTAGTTGTCCAGTTGCAATCTGGCTCGAACGCCAATAAATTTACAATTTGCTTGCAGTTCTCGAGTTGTTTCTAGAAAAGAGTTTTTCTCTGTCGTTTAGGAATATTATAAATAAAGTACAATTTTCTCTCAGTGTTTACTTGTGATCACAACACTGCGTAAAGAAGGCATCTTATATTTCAAGATACTTTGGTAGTCACTTTTAAAACATCTTATTTTTCCATTCCTGTCAGTGCATTTTAAGATTCTTTTGCTAACTTTTTCGAAACAACTTAAAAGTGACTGCCAAAGTACATATCTTTAAAATAGATGTCTTCTTTTTAAAGTGGTTATTTTAATACTTGAAATTTTAATGAAATAAATAAAATCAGATTCTTAAAATGGAATCATTTATTTGTATAGGTACAGCACGCAGGCAAAAATGGTGGACACAGGAACTGGTACTTTGTATATTATTGGATCCTTCAAGCGAATGACTACTGATCCTGATTTCAAGGTATTTATTCAACATTTTGCTTTCAATAATATGACAGAAGGCAAAAGTGATTTAGAGTTTAGAGATGTTTTCTAGAAAATAAATGACAAATAAAATGCAAGTGTCGAGCAAATGAAACAAGTACGTAGTAAAGTAGAAGACAGGACGGGTGCATGTACTACTCAAAAATCCTACATGAAAGCCACTTCCTACGGTTGTATGTACATCGCAGTCACAACTCCCACACGTCACTGTTGCGAAATTCGCTCCGGTTTCTCTCACACATACTCGTGGTCCATTTGTCGCGCAGGAATGTGACACAACACAGAGGCGCGACATTTTGCGTTTCAGTGTCCTCGTAAAATCCTGTATCACCGATATACGGCTTCCTTGACGACACACAATGGCATACACTTTAGCATTTGGAAACGTCCTTAGAATTTGCACATGCATGTAGACAAATTTATACAAGTACACGGCGGCAGAGGAAATTTTCAACAGTTCAAATACTACTGGAATAACATTCGACACCATCGCACCTTTCACTGGTAGCTTCATTTCGCTCAATTTCACACATATATCTCGAGACATAGTGACAATTTGCGGGCTTATTAAATTCCTAATTTTTCTTCCCTCCGAAGCAAATAATCAATAATGAAACAATAGAAAAATATTTACCTTTTTATTTATAAGCATCCAACAAGACCATAAGGAGATGAAAATAAAGCAAAGCTTCATTAACAAGTAATAAGATGAATGTTATTTTAGATACATAATATGCTAGAAGGTAAGCTTCTCGATGTTTTGGAAGGCTCTTGCACATTTGAGAAACTTGAGAGAGGGAGAGGATTGTCTTTGCATAATCGAGTCTCGCCTAAGCCATTAAACGTGCAAACTTTGTCCCTATACAACCTACAAGAAATACTAGACTCAACATAAGCTGCTTAAGGCGCGAGCAACAAATAATATCACCTTCTTCAATGTTTAACAAGTGAACGTTCGCAACTGCAGAAAAAAATTAAAAAAAGAAAATTTATGCAGCGAACATAAATTCTTCTCATTAAAACCTTGATACAATTACGAAAGTAAACAAAAAAGTGCCGCGAATTTATTATAGTAATAAGTCTAAATTGTATCATAATTGTAAACAATAATTGTAAACAATTTTTGAAAAAATGATAAACGAATTAAAATTTGGATAAAAGGAAATAAATCTCATTACCCGTGCAGAAAAGTGTCTGGTGAAACTATATACGAGATAGAAACTACCGCAAACATCTCGTAAAGCTAGTCACGTAAAACTATACCGAAATGGTCTAGATTCTGTATAGTTTCACTACATTAACTGCTTTACATTGGAATACGTTCTAGAATCTGTATAGTTTCACTACAACAACTGCTTTACATTGGGATACGGTCTAGAATTTGTATAGTTTCACTACATTAACTACTTCATATTGTAGATCTAGATCAATTCTGCCTAGTGAAACTTCACAATCATAATCTGCAAGTAATTTCTTTATGTTTATAATATTATTATTATTTACATATTGTAATTAATAATGTTATTAAGTATATAGATTTAAATATACCATTTACAAACAATTTATTATAAATAAAGGCAAAAATTGCAGTCTCGAAACTGAAAAGGTATTTTAAGCAACACATCTTCCAAGTCAGCGTGGCTGTGTGGTATGTGTATTCGTATTGCGTCCCAAAGGTCTAGGGTTCGAACCCCCGTGCGTGCGATATTTTTCCGTCTTAATTTAAGTGATTTATGTTAATAATGTGATGTGTAGTATAGGTTGAAATTCTTAATTAGAATTTAAAATAATAACAAATAAATAACTGGACTTGTTAAAAATAAAATATGGTATAAAAGAAGAAAGCGAATAATCGAAATTTTTTTTTAAATTCAATGAAATTATTGCACCTTTTAAAATCTTTAATATTGTTAAAAATTAATAATAGTTTATATATTATAATTATAAACTTTGTTAATATTGTTATATAATTATATTGTACATATGTTATTAATTATTATTATTATTAATTTTTACAAATATATTTACCGTAAATCAATATAGAAGTATTAAACAAGTTTCTAAAAATGAAATTTATACTAGAGCCCGTGTTATAGCTTTATAATATTTCACTATATTGTTCTGATATAGTAAAACTATCTAGAAACTTGATGTCCGTAGCCTCAATCAAATGAATCCTATGTCCACATGGAATATAATACGCTTTCTATTGTATAAACAGTTTTCTGTCGTTATAATCACAAATTGTTTTCAATTAAGAGTCGAGATTTTGATTGTATATTCTTGAAATATATTATTTTAAAATTGCAATTTGCTGCAATTATTTATCATTCAAGCCACAGGTAATAAACGGCTAATAAGTGTACCCACTAAAGTGGTGTGGTACATTAATCGACTGAACGTTTAAGAACTTTTCGAACGTGTCACGCTGCCCACGTTTACCACCTTGTTGGCGAATATTTATTACTATTTCATACCATTAACGCGTGTTTGTTAGCGTTAAATGTTGAACTGACCCGCAATTCTCTAGTGGTTTTGAGTAATGTATCCAGTTAATTATTATATTGGATTTTCGAGAACAATATCGAGCATTTATATTGTTGATAAATGTGAATAGAAAAAACCGACTGTTATAAACTAAAAAGTTATTGACAATTTTGATACTAATTTATTTGGTGTATTTTTCTTTTTCAGTTGTACCTGACATCGAATGTGTCATCCAGCGACTTCAATATGGGATATAGCATGACGGGGACGTTGGAACGTGGTTGCAAGAAAACAAACTCTTTTCAAATGACACATTTTGCAGTAATTCGAAGACGCGATTACGAGAAGGCCTACGAAGATCCAAATCCCACCTAGTGCCCGTCCACACCCACACTCTCAGAGTGTGGGAATTACGAACACTACACGTAGGGTGCCTCTTTCATATTTCTTCAAAAATAATTACATCCATGTGATTAAAATTACCTCGAAAAATTAGGTAACATTTTTTATAATTTATTAAACTTGACTCATTTTTCAAATTCACCATTCAATTCTTCAATTTACGATCGTTTTATACATGAAAGACTGAGTACGATTATTTCCCAATTAAAATGAATTCCTGAAGATAATTAGATTTAAGGTGAATCTGTTAATCAAATTCTAGTCCTTTTTTTCTTTTCAAATTTTCTATAATAGAGAACATGGATTTTTTTTGTACAAGAGGGCAAAAAGAGATTATTTTCAAGCTTCAAAAGTCCTAATTGAAATGAATCTGTGAAAAGGGTCAAATGAGAAACGAGAATTGAATCATAGGAGAAAAGTTTGTAATTGAGACCTCAGAAACTCTTCATTCAATCTGTCAGTGAATGGAATTCATTAAAGTCAGGGATGGACGAAAACTTGTCCCGCAAAACTTGCTCAAGTAATATTATATTTTTAATCAATAATTAATATCCTGCATTACTTTCCATTAAAATAGAAAAAAGGTTCATCTCATTAAAATTCCTGACACATCAGACGAGAATTGAATATTTTTTGGCAATTATTTCAATTCGATTCACGCGAGAAATTAATTTATTAGTAATTAAATAAACTTCTAGAGAATAATTACTTTTTTATAATAAATCAATATTACCTAATTAATATTATTATTGCAATTGGTAAATACTTAGCTACACTGAGAAAACTGGAGTATTGGACTAAACATCTGGAGGGACAAATCATTGATATTTGAGAGTTAGCTATTGGATAACAATCTAAATGTTCAAATACACCATTGACAGATATTCGTGCCATTTCTCTTGGAGGGAAAATGAGTTTAAAACAGAGGGACAAATTAACCATCTTGAGAAATCCCTTCCTTATCCGGCGCGAAATGAATAAATATGGCAACCTAACCCCTAAATTAAATACATAAAATGTCAGAAAAATAATTTCGCGCGCATCAGATCGTACACATTTTTTGCGCAACTTTTAACCCTCAGATATAATGGGAGAGAATATAAATATACAAGTAGACTTCCATTATCAATTCAAAATTTATTTTAGAAGGACTATTTAACTCTCTTCATAAGCAAAGGAAACATACACTTTTTGAACCTCCGAATTTGACACTCCAGTTTTCTCAGTGTAATAATCAGGTCATACTTGTTAAATAATCATTAAGTACTCATTAAAAATATTTGCTAGTCAAATAGTAATAATAATCATACAAGTGAAGAAATACATTGAACAATTAATTAATTAATTATTGTCAGTTTTATTTTAAATACTTGACGATAATTAATTAACAAGTGAGAACAATTAGGATTTTATTATTAATATAGTAAGGAAACGACTATTATTAAAATTATTGTTTTTATTTATTTATTTATTTATTTATTTTGTTTGTTTGTTTGTTTGTTGTACGTTTAAGAAAAAGCGAAAGACTTGAGGCACCTTACGAAAATGCGATACGTCCATGGTAGTCTTTAACTAAGTATGTAAATTAATTAGATGGTAAGTGACTATATGACGTTTAATGCTAATAATAAATTACGAACGATACCTAAGCAATGTATGTATAATATGAAAATCTTATACAAAAGTGATCGAGTCTTTACCAAAGTACTAGTTTTTAAGTGTTTCAAACAATTTTTATTCATAATTTAAACTCTTTCAATGTAAGTAAGTGGAATTTCACTTGAATATCTGAGCCCTGTTCTTGTTTACAGTGTTTACAGTGTGTAATATGTACCACTCATTATAAGTAGGATGTAATTGAAGACAAGAGAAGGACTTTAAGTGAAATTCCACTTATTCAGATGTGGAGGGAGTAAAATTATTCGTGTTCGTCGTTTCCTACCAAGTCTCATGGTGCGTGTGATAAAAGCTAATCTCCTTTATAAGAAATGAAAAGGGGTGTAAAAAAAGTATTAGCTATTAGCAAATTCCCTTGAGAGTTTTTTTATATTCTGGGAATTAGCCTAGAATATTTCACTCAACAGTTTACCTTATTATTCTTCGCATTACATAATTCAGTAACAATTTATTTTTCAATCAGAATTCTAATAATTTACTTGGACTAATTTTTGTAGGAACGATCATAAAGGGTTCATTTTCTTATTAAATTATGAAAAAACTTGATAGAATATTTTGAAAATTAGTTAAATTTCTTAACTTTTTATAATAATAATTTTTAAAATATAATTAAATTAATTGCAAAAAAGAATAAAGGGGTAAAACAGTGAAAATTTTTGAGAAACAATTTTGCATGCTCATCATATGTCAATGTACATATTTAATATATGAAATATTAAAATATATATAAAATATATGCGTTACTGTGAAACCTCTTGATCGGGATCATCTCGTAAAATATTAGAGCAATATTACACGATATTTATTTTTGCTAAAGAGTAGAAACTTATTATCGTGTCAAGAGTTTGAGAGAGATTAGAATGCTCAATTGTAATTAGTCGTTGCTTGAATAACTCGATTAGTTTCATCGTGTATAGACTTTTACAGTCTTTTCTAATAATATATTCATCATATATATATATATATTTATTCATTTATTTGAAGTATGTTATGGTTTTTAAAATTGAAGATTTTGCATTAAATTTCAATTATTTTTTCTTTCATACATGTATTATTGTTTTAGAATGTGAAATGTTGTATTTTTTAAAGTATTTCCATTAAAGAAAATAAATTTTACAGAAAAAATTAAGGTTATAAAACTTTACTGCAGTAAAGTGACTTTCTTCATTAATAAGTTTCTAGAAAATAATATAAATGAAAATATTTTATGAGATTTTTTTTCATTACTTTGAAAATATGTATTATTTTGCAATCAGCTTTTCTCAAATGAAAAAGAATAAATTGAAAAGGAATCAGAAAACCTAAATGACTTCTCTTCTTCTGTGTTCAGAAGTTTATGTGAAACATGTTTCCTAATTTCAAGCAAATATTGTCTTTTTCTTAGTCACAAATCTTTTTGAGATCATCTAGTCGTTTACTTGAATCAATGAATTTGTCAGCGTTTTGAGCGCATTGTAAATATAAAAACATATATATAAAACAAAATTTTAATCTAGGCATACAAATGAAAATGATTCAATAAAAAATTTAAATAGCGTGGGAAAATGACAGGGTTTTGTAGATAATTTTCCGCGATTCGAGAGTCTCGAATTTTTCTTGTGGAAAATTTTTTTTAATTTATAATGACAGTCGCGAAAAATTTTATATATATATATATATATATAAATAATATCTTTGAAAAATTCTCAATGTGTAGATTATTGGCTTTTGCATGTTTCGCGCTTCTATCGGTTTAAAAATGAATTTTTACATTCTCGAAACTGTAATTAAAAGAAGAGAAAAAAGCTATATATCAAACAGAATGAAATTCTACTTCTTGAAAAAATTTCCAATTGTTTGTTTTCATTAGCGACTGAGTGAAAATAGTCCTTTTATCATTTACGAGGTTCTCAAAATAAGGTGAAGGGACATAAACATAATGGGGCACCATTGGATGGTTAACATTCCTGTAGGTAGAATGGTCGTAGAAAGAAGAATGTGATCTTTTTTAAGAGAATGCAGAATTATAGTTGTCCCGTAAATACCGAGGTAAATACTTTGGCGTCTTTTTATTTACCTTCCGAAACGCAAGAGATCGTTAAAGTTCTATTGAGTTTCTTTGTTATCTATATATTATTATCATAAATTAATAAGTAGTATATTTTGCACTGCCAATCTCGCGATTTCTCTTAATAATATGTCCGTTAGGCCTTTGAATATATTATGCATGCATAGTATATACATAGATTTATAAAACGCTACAAATAAATTTATGCCAATTTTTTCGAAACGTTCTTTATCGACATCCTTTAATTAGTTATGCTGATGAACTATAAATGTTCCAACATCTCAAATGTTTTGTTGTTGAAAGTTCTTTTGATATTTACTCATATTTAGTTGTCATTCTCAATTAATTTATTTCAGTAAATTTTTATTTATTTTATTTTTTAATTAGCGAATCAGTGGAAAATGGCTGATATTTCAATCAGTTTCAACTGATCTTCAGTGAAATTTCACTGATTCAGTTTCAGAGAGTATCATTAAAAATAACTGCTGGTTTATTGTAGTTCAGTTTCAATTTCAACAATGAATAAGTAATTAAAAAAAAAATAATTATTTACAAATAAAATTAATGGTATAGTACCTAATCAATTAAAATTGTATAGATACCTTAATAAATATTTTATAAATCTTTTTTATGTTGAGAAGTACATAATAATTATTATAAAAAGGGCCGAGTCTAAAAATTACCATGAAACGTTATCAAAATGTTGAATCAAAATTTCAATAGTGGGAAATATTTTTGAATTATCTGGAAAATAGTTATTTTAAATGTAAAATAGATGATTAATTCCTTTTCTTAATGTAAACTTGAAACTCGTTTAGAAATGTAGTATGTAGATTAATTGATGTGAGTTTAATCGTGAAAAGACAATTGTTTGATAGATAGTTGTTTGATTATATATGGTAAAGAAAATTTTAGAAGACAGTAGAAAAAGTCGCGTCCACAATAAATTTTGGAGTAGTTTGTTAGCCTCCTAGGATGATTTAAGTGAAGTAACGTCCGATATCACGGTCCCTCCTAACTACTTAGCCGTAGCTTAGACTTTTTCACTATTTCCCATTTCTCATCATCCAGTCAATCAATTTTTTTCATTACCATATTGCTTATTCAATTTTTCAAACTGAATTTTTTAAATGCCAATAAATTTAATAATTTTTGGTTTGGTCGTCTGTTAATAAATTACTCCGTTTGTTTCATTATATGAAAGATAATAATTTGAAAGGTTCTTTATAATTTCTAAAAGATTCATATTCTTTTCATATTGACAAAAGATGATTAAGAAATGAGTGAATTCAGTCCTTGAAATAGGTAGAAGATAGATATATCGTACAGTAGAATTTAGTACTGTAAAATCGATGTTGTCTCTTAATAGTGCATTTGTAACGTAAGCGAGAGTTTTTACTTAAAGAATTTTCATTAATTCTTTATTAGCTCTCATAGTCTGAAACCTTCCTTTTTTGCAGAGGGCAAAGATTATCGACTCGTAATTCAACAAACAGTCGCTCGTTACAATTAATTTACAATGTAATATTATGATTATGATTTTATCATTAATATTAGGTAATATTTCTCACCTGCAATTTTGTGGTTATTAAATAATATATTTTATATCACCAAATTGTAACAAATATTAAATGATTTAGTTTTGTTTTTGGAAGTTGTTGTATTGTTTTTTATATAAGACGACTTAAAGAAATTTGACAATTCAATTTAATGAATGTGCGTAGTCGATTAGCGAATAGTTGGAAGTGAGTTTATGTTACTAATAAACGTTATAATTACACTGGTCTTAAAAAATACGAACGAGACATTCGTATTCAAAGCTATGGCTGTATGGCTGTGATCCTTATTATTACTTGTTAGGGTCATGTTTGGATCGAATTAAAAAAAAATTATTATTTGAATTTTAAAATAAAAAAAAGAAAAACTATGGTAAAAAAGTATTGTTAAAGAAAAATGAAACAGAGTAATTTAAAATTGTTAAAAATTGAAAAAATGAAACGTTAAGAAAAATTAAAAAAATCCCTCTCCTCATTATTGATTCTTATCAATAGTGATAATAAGAATTAATGAGGAGGTCCCTTCTCCCCTTATTTAGCCATAAGGGGCCAGTACGCATGAAAGCTTGCAATCAAGTAAACTTGAAGACCCGATATGCCGCCTCTAGGGTGCAGAACAGAGTGTCCCCACTTCCTCGAGGGCTGCCAGGCGCGAATATAATTTTTTTTTTTTGAATCGTTGATTTGTTGATGAAGACGGTGAACAAACAAAGTTGTGACGATAACACCAATAAGAAAGGCGTCGAATGATAAAAAGGTGTAGAAAATTTAATCTGAAAATAAAAAAGAATATATATATATATTACTTAGTATATTCTTGATTCAACTAATTACTACTTGATTTAAATATAATAATTTTAATACTTACTATTCCTATAATGGAAAGTCGCTTCGTCAAATGGTGCTTCCTTGGGGATTATTCCCTCATCGATGAGTCCCACGTTTAGAATATTTCGTCCACCGTTAATGTCACGTTCCCAGGTAGTGCGGCATTTATTACACTGCAGAAATCTGTGCGGACTCTTGGATTTTATCACATCAAAGCAGCAATTGCTGCACAGCGCAGTCGTGTGATACTCATTTACTTTAACGAATTTCAAGCGTTTGTCACCAAGTTGTTTTGCTCGATTAACAAACGTTCTCTTCAATTGATTCAACGCTGTACCAACGTAGCCACGTGTAAAGTTTGGTAATGATGCATTACCAAAAGCCACAAAACAAGGTTTTTGAAAAGTGTCTCCAATGAAGAAATTCACCAATTTTTCACATTCCCTCTGACGCGAAATATATTTGTCCATTTTTAAACGCACCACACATTTTTGCTCGTGCAACTCTTGAAATCTTTCGAACAGATGCAGCTTATACTCGATGATTCTCTTGTAATCTCGCGGATTGGTATTTGAAAAATTGGCCATTCTTTCTGGATTTTCAAGCACGTACTGTTTATAATATTTTTGAAGATCCAGACCAAATTCCTTTTTTCTTTCCCTTCTTCTGAAATCATTCATCTGCCAACGAAAACTGCTGCTCTTTAAATAAATGTGATTATCCTTCAATTTGTCCTCCATTGACGGTTGTGCACCACGAACTCTTCTTACACCACCCAATGTCGCCTTCTTGCCGGGATCGAAACCATAAAAGACTTTGAAACGAGTTTCCGGAGCAGGGCCTTCCTTTTCTTCAACAGATTCCATTTTTGGAACATTAAATATTATTGAAGCATCGACGCCATTTGTTGTCATCACTTCAGCAAATGCACCAACTTTGCCCCTTTCCGCGCTGGAAATGTCAAACATGTACTCCCATCTTTGAATTTTATTCTTGATTTGTAAAAATCGATTGATTTCTACATTCTTGCAAGTTTTTGCCTCTTTGATTTGAAGTTGCTTCTGTTTAAAAGGAATTGACTGCCGCCTTATCTGCAATTCTTTTTTCAAAAATACATCCTGCTCGGCACCCCTCTTTAAATCTTCCAGACCTGTATTGGAATACAATACATGTGCAATGCCGAGTTGAGCTTGCGGTACAAGAACAAAATTGTGAATATTGTTGTCGTGAAAGTATTGTTGAACACGTATCATGAATGGAATGAATTTTGTCCATTCAGAATTGCGATCATCTTCCTCACCATCGTCGTTTACGTCTCGTTTCATGTTTTGAAAATTCAACTTTTCTTGAGGATTCAGAAAATTATTAAATTCGGCAATGTCGCAATCATTGTTGTTGAGAAGATTTTCAACAACTTGAATAGCTTCTTTTCTCGTGCTAACAGTGTTGTTGCGAATTCTACTTGCAGAGCTCGACCACCTACTCTTTAAGGCAATATCCTTTCTTTTCCCATGAGTTTTTGGATGTTTTCTTCTTTTTCGAGTTTTTCTTTTTGAAAAAACTTTCTCACGATGTGAATTGTCCTTGGCACGATTTTCTCTTCTTTCTTGAATTTTAAAATTTGCAATTTCTTTGGCAGTCCTACGATGGTTTTCTTCTCTCGATGCTGCTGCTGCTGCTGTTGCTTCAATCCTTTTTAGTTTGCGACGTTTTGCTTTGAATTTTTTGCGATTCCTTCGCTTCTTTTCATTGTGTCTCTCTCGTCTTGCCATTTTTAAAATTCTCTCAGCTTCCGCATCATCATCGTCATCATTATCAAGAGCATCCTTCACAATATTCTCTTCTTCCGCGTCATCGGCAGCATCAGAGTTTGAAGCATCAGAGTTTGAAGCATTATCTTTAGATGACAAAAGATGTTGAACCAATCTCGTCAATCTACTTTCGAAATGTTTCAAGAAACTTGTTTTAAATTCACGATTCATTTTACGAGCTTCTTCTTGAATAATGGCCGAACGATATTCACAATCGTAAAGTGGCATATTGCCACGTGTCACTTTATATTCTTCGATTAGCGCTACAAACTGAGGATCTCGAACAACTTGAGTATTTATTTTTCTTTTCAACGCAATAAAGAGTTCTAAATAATTGGGACCATCGTTCGTCCACTTTTCAAGCAAATAATGATTTGTGTCATGATAAAGAGACTGCAACGCCATCAAAGAGACTTCTATTCTCATTCTGGATACTATTTTCGCATCTTCAATTATTCTCTCCTTTACGGCATTTGATTTACATATGGTGCCCAAGAATATTTTGACAGTTGACTTTCGAGTTCCCAATCGTTTGAGTCGCTTCCTTTTTCTCTCATCCATAGGAGGTTCTTCATCTTCCTCATTGTTCGCCGTTCTCTTTTTAGTAACTTTCTTTTTATTCTTTTCCAAAGAATCATCTTTCTTAGTCTTCTTTAAATTGGTATCCTTCTTATCTTTATCGGCACGACGTCGTTTCGCATTTTCCTTATTTTTATTCGAACTATTCCCACATGCAGCAGTAGCAGGACATTTTGAAGAATTTGAAGTATTATTTAAAGAAGTAGATGAAGAAGGTAGAAAATCCTTTAATGTTATTGACTGCCTCTTTCGCTTCATTTTCTTTGTCTCCTGGCAAATATTCCAAACCTAAAAGAAAATTTAAAAATTTTAATCTCATTTAAAATTAAGAAATTTTAATTAATTAATTTTTTAAAATTATTATTATTTTCAACAATTTTTAACTAAAATTCTTCATTAAATCAATTTTACAAAATTTCAATTATTCGTAAATTATTTAATTAAATATATATTCGAAAATAAAAACTTGAATTAACATATTTCAAAATTCAATTATTTATAAAAATTCACGCTATACAGCTTTTAATATTCAATTATTTAAATACAAAAATAATTCATTGTCTTAACATTTAATTCTCATAAAGAATTTTACCAACAAATTTTTCAATTGATGACGAATTTTAATAAAATTTTTAAGAATAATTACATTTTTCGAACAATTCGTTTAAAATTGTATTAGAAATAATTAAAATTCTTTGATGATTTTTATTATTTATGATGCAATTATTGAATAGCTGTTAACAATTTTATAAAAAATTTTCAAAAATAATTAAAGTCCTGAGAAATTTTTTATTATTCCAGAAAAAAATGAAATTCTCACGAAGATTTTTACAAAAATTTTTAAATAATTGAATTCTGTTTGGAAATTTTGTGAAAATAGTAGATATTGAAAATTATTGAATTGCGAAAAGTTTTTAAGAATTTTATTGCAATTCTTATTATTTATGAAAATAATTGAATTCTTTCGAACGATTTAATGAGAATTTTTTTAAATTATTGAATTTCCAAGAAAAAATGCATTACTTTTAAAAATAATTGAATTCTTGTAATGAATATTATTGTTATTTATGAAAATAATTGAATTTTGCAAAGAATTTTATTAAAATGTAAAAGAATAAATGAATTATTTCAGAAATATGTAATTAAAATTCTATTTAAAATAATTGATTTCTTTGGAACAATTTTATTAAAATATTATTTTAATTCTGGTGAAAAATTCTAATATTTTTGTAAATAATTGAATTCTTCCAAATAATTTAAAAAAACATTTTTTTTAAGTAATTGATTTTCGCGAGGAATTAAAATTAAATTTTTAACAATAATTACAATTTTTAGCAATTTCTGTAAAATTGTATTAAAAATAATTAAATTATTAAAATTTTCAAAAATATTTGAATTCCTGAGTTTATATTATTTATTTAAAATAATTGAATTATTGCGAAAAATTTTATTAAAATGTTTAAAAAGAATTAAATTTGTGTGAAAAATTTTGTTATTTTAGAAAATAATTAAATTCTTATTCATACGAATTTTATAAAAAGTGTTTTAAATTATTAAATTTTTCGAATTATAATAAATATTGTAAAAATTTTATTTTAATTAATTGGATTCATCTTTTTCTTTATAAAATTTCTGCTACACTGTAAAAAATGCCAGAATATAATAACATAGATCGTCTAATTGTACACTTTGGATAACCAATGGGAAGAAGTAAATTTAAAATGTCTGAAAAGGTAACATAACCTTCATTGGATTATTTTACACGGTGGCACAGTGTAAAGGCCAACGCAGAATAGATCTGTAACCGGAACCGCAATCGTAACCGTAAGCGTAAGAATGAGTTAAAGAAGGATAAATAATATACCTATCCTTCTTTAACTCATTCTTACGGTAACGCTTACGATTGCGGTTCCGGTTACAGATCTATTCTGCGTTGGCCTTAATTCGCATAAATTTCACGACATTTGAAAAAAAACGCGTGAAATTACACTGTCCGACGGTGGAAAAAAGTGACCATCTGTTGGAAGGGTTTATTAATAACGTATTATAAATAAACAATAAACAGCATTTATATAACATAGAAATAGAAATTTGTTAAATTCAGGCTAATTCACACTCCGCATTGGTAATTTTACACCAATCGGGTTTTTTTTACTGCGAGGTTGTAAAATAACACATTATAATTTAGGTTATATTAATACGTGGGACGGTGTAAAATTACTCTGGCATTTTTTACAGTGTATAAAATTTTTGAGTTTGTTTAATTTGAAAAAAGCAAATTTTTGTCAATAATGTCTAAACAAATAAAATAAGTTGAAACTTACGTTTTAAAACAATCCTTGAGAGAAAAACGGTGGCGAGAAACGATGGCGAGAAATGGTGGCGAGAAAAGGTGGCGAGAAACGGTAGCGAGAAACGGTGGCGACAAAGGATGGCGACATACGGTGGCGAGAAACGGTGGCGACAAAGGATGGCGAGAAACGGTGGCGATCGTTTTTGGTTGACGATGACCATAAGGAATTACAAACAAGTTTGACTCCAGAATCTGAAAAAAAATATGTTTGTTTTACTCTGAAAACGAATTGACAAACATAATATTTCACTGTGAATTAATTAATTAATAAAGGTTAATTTCCCAACATCTTTTTTTTTTTTTGCAGCAATGTCACGACGGTGAAATAACTTTTATTTATATAGAATCTTCTCACTTGTGAAAAGAAAAATAATTTTTTTTACAAATAAATTTTTGAACAGAAATATATTAATTCAAATATATTAACAAAAATATTCTAATTAAAATATGTATAGTTATTAAAAGTAAATTAATTTAAAAATCCGATTTAATTTTAAATATATATTTATTCGAATTAATAATAAATTGAAAATTTTAAATATTTCGGAAATTCAATCAGAAATTGAAAAACAAATTTGCAAATAAAATTTTTAATTGAACTAAAAAAAATGGTGTAATCGGAAAGAAATAATAAACTGATTGTTGTGCACACGCGCAGTACAAGCAATATCAAATTTGAAAATGGCTTATTTTTTTCCTGTTCTCGTAAGCTCGTAAAATCTACACTTTCAAATAATTTTATAAATTGTTCTAATAAAAAAAACACAATTGTTTATTATTTAATAAATATAACCTCAATTATCAATTTTTGTCTAATTTTTTTTTTATAAAATTTCTGCTACAAAATTTTTGAGTTTCTTTAATTTGATAAAATAAGCAAATTTTTGACAATAATGTCTAAACAAATAAAAAAAGTTGAAACTTACGTTTTAAAACAATCCTTGAGAGAAAAACGGTAGCGAGAAACGATGGCGTGAAATGGTGGCGAGAAACGGTAGCGAGAAACCTACTTCCGTCTTTTTCTATCTCGTGCTGGTGTTCCGTTTCCGTTTTAGGCTATACAGCAAACGACTGAAAATTTTTTTTACAATTTAAAAACAAATCACAATTTTTCTAAAAATAATGAACCAATTTATATTATAGATTATGATGAAATCAGTCAAGTCAAGTTAATGTAAACGATTAATGTAAAAAGTTTTCAAGAAAAAATTTTGTAACCTAACTTTTCAGAACATTAGTTTTTTAAACTTAATTTTACTTAATTTTAAATAATTATCATTTCACTTACCAAATTGATGTTCACGATTCGCCAAAGATTCAAATAGACATTTTTTGATTTGCCCTCGTAATCCGCAAAAGAAATACGTACATTTGTTGATTGTCGTCACGGAAATCAGCAAAAAAATTGTATTCACCTATATTGCAATTAAAACGTGTAATTTCAATAAAAATCTCGTACTGACTATTAAATATAAACAAATAAAAGGATGTTAAAATTACGATTAGATTTTAATTGAGCACAACACAAAATTCTGCCACCACGCACGAGAGTAATGAGGATAAAAATGCCGGCCGGATGCCGGAAAACGGAAAAAAGAAAATGGCGGCACATTGTAGTAGGTGGCGCGCTGGGCGGTTTCGACTTCCGGAATTTAAATATTTTAACTTGTCTATTGACAATATCATTCTTCTTTTTTTATTGTTAGAGATAAAGAGTATTCGAGATTATTTACGAGGATAAACAATATTTAAAAGATAATTGAAAAGTTAATAATAAAATAATACTATAAGGCTAATTAAAATGAAATTAGGGGAATTACCGAGAATATAGTATAGAATCAAATAAATCATTATTGTCAACTTTTTTTTTTTGCAGCAATGTCACAACGGTGAAATAACTTTTATTTATATAGATTCTTCTCATTTAAAAAAAAAATAATTTTTTTTAGAAATAAATTTTTGAAAAAAAATATATTAATTAAAATATATTAACAAAAATATACTAATTAAAATATGTATAGTTATTAAAAGTAAATTAATTTAAAAATCCGATTAAATTTTAAATATATATTTATTGGAATTAATAATAAATAAAAAATTTTAAATAATTCGGAAATTCAATCAGAAATTGAAAAACAAATTTGCAAATAAAATTTTTAATTGAACTAAAAAAAATGGTGAAATCGGAAAGAAATAATAAACTGATTGTTGTGCACACGCGCAGTACAAGCAATATCAAATTTGAAAATAGCTTATTTTTTTCCCGTTCTCGTTCGCTCATAAAATCTACACTATTTCTGATAATTTTATAAATTGTTCTATATTTATAATAAAAAAAACACAATGATTTATTATTTAATAAATTTAACCTCAATTAACAATTTTTGTCTAATTTTTTTTTATAAAATTTATGCTATTAAATTTTTGAGTTTGTTTAATTTGAAAAAAAGCAAATTTTTGACAATAATGTCTAAACAAATAAAAAAAGTTGAAACTTACGTTTTAAAACAATCCTTGAAAGAAAAACGGTAGCGAGAAACGATGGCGAGAAAGGATGGCGAGATACGGTGGCGTGAAATGGTGGCGTGAAATGGTGGCGAGAAACCTACTTCCGTCTTTTTCTATCTCGTGCTGGTGTTCCGTTTCCGTTTTAGGCTATACAGCAAACGACTGAAAATTTTTTTTACAATTTAAAAACAAATCACAATTTTTCTAAAAATAATGAACCAATTTATATTATAGATTATGATGAAATCAGTCAAGTCAAGTTAATGTAAACGATTAATGTAAAAAGTTTTCAAGAAAAAATTTTGTAACCTAACTTTTCAGAACATTAGTTTTTTAAACTTAATTTTACTTAATTTTAAATAATTATCATTTCACTTACCAAATTGATGTTCACGATTCGCCAAAGATTCAAATAGACATTTTTTGATTTGCCCTCGTAATCCGCAAAAGAAATACGTACATTTGTTGATTGTCGTCACGGAAATCAGCAAAAAAAATGTATTCACCTATATTGCAATTAAAACGTGTAATTTCAATAAAAATCTCGTACTGATAATTAAATATAAATAAATAAAAGGATGCTAAAACTACGATTAGATTTTAATTGAGCACAACACAAAATTCTGCCACCACGCACGAGAGTAGTGAGGATAAAAATGCTGGCCGGATGCCGGAAAAAAGAAAATGGCGGCACATTGTAGTAGGTGGCGCGCTGGGCGGTTTCGACTTCCGGAATTTAAATATTTTAACTTGTCTATTGACAATATCATTCTTCTTTTTTTATTGTTAGAGATAAAGAGTATTCGAGATTATTTACGAGGATAAACAATATTTAAAAGATAATTGAAAAGTTAATAATAAAATAATACTATAAGGCTAATTAAAATGAAATTAGGGGAATTACCGAGAATATAGTATAGAATCAAATAAATCATTATTGTCAACTTTTTTTTTTTGCAGCAATGTCACAACGGTGAAATAACTTTTATTTATATAGATTCTTCTCATTTAAAAAAAAAATAATTTTTTTTAGAAATAAATTTTTGAAAAAAAATATATTAATTAAAATATATTAACAAAAATATACTAATTAAAATATGTATAGTTATTAAAAGTAAATTAATTTAAAAATCCGATTAAATTTTAAATATATATTTATTGGAATTAATAATAAATAAAAAATTTTAAATAATTCGGAAATTCAATCAGAAATTGAAAAACAAATTTGCAAATAAAATTTTTAATTGAACTAAAAAAAATGGTGAAATCGGAAAGAAATAATAAACTGATTGTTGTGCACACGCGCAGTACAAGCAATATCAAATTTGAAAATAGCTTATTTTTTTCCCGTTCTCGTTCGCTCATAAAATCTACACTATTTCTGATAATTTTATAAATTGTTCTATATTTATAATAAAAAAAACACAATGATTTATTATTTAATAAATTTAACCTCAATTAACAATTTTTGTCTAATTTTTTTTTATAAAATTTATGCTATTAAATTTTTGAGTTTGTTTAATTTGAAAAAAAGCAAATTTTTGACAATAATGTCTAAACAAATAAAAAAAGTTGAAACTTACGTTTTAAAACAATCCTTGAAAGAAAAACGGTAGCGAGAAACGATGGCGAGAAAGGATGGCGAGATACGGTGGCGTGAAATGGTGGCGTGAAATGGTGGCGAGAAACCTACTTCCGTCTTTTTCTATCTCGTGCTGGTGTTCCGTTTCCGTTTTAGGCTATACAGCAAACGACTGAAAATTTTTTTTACAATTTAAAAACAAATCACAATTTTTCTAAAAATAATGAACCAATTTATATTATAGATTATGATGAAATCAGTCAAGTCAAGTTAATGTAAACGATTAATGTAAAAAGTTTTCAAGAAAAAATTTTGTAACCTAACTTTTCAGAACATTAGTTTTTTAAACTTAATTTTACTTAATTTTAAATAATTATCATTTCACTTACCAAATTGATGTTCACGATTCGCCAAAGATTCAAATAGACATTTTTTGATTTGCCCTCGTAATCCGCAAAAGAAATACGTACATTTATTGTACATACATTTGTTGATTGTCGTCACGGAAATCAGCAAAAAAAATGTATTCACCTATATTGCAATTAAAACGTGTAATTTCAATAAAAATCTCGTACTGATAATTAAATATAAATAAATAAAAGGATTCTAAAACTACGATTAGATTTTAATTGAGCACAACACAAAATTCTGCCACCACGCACGAGAGTAATGAGGATAAAAATGCCGGCCGGATGCCGGAAAAAAGAAAATGGCGGCACATTGTAGTAGGTGGCGCGCTGGGCGGTTTCGACTTCCGGAATTTAAATATTTTTTTCTTTTTTTATTGTTAGATAAAGAGTAGTCAAGATTATTTACGAGGATAAAAAATATTTAAAAGATAATTAAAAACTTGAGAATAAAATAATACTAAAGGCTGATTATTATTCTTTAGTTTGTTATTTTTAAAAATATTGTTGGCTAAAATAAAGACAAAATTTATCCTAAACTCTATACTCACTTGCAAAAATCAAAATTTTTTAAATTTTATGAAATTAATCCTAATTTACAGTTATTTTTTATATATTGTTAATGAATTTACACTACGACTATTAAACACGTAATTTGGTGAGGTAATATTTTGCAAACACTTTGTATTTATTAATTAATTTGTTTCACTTTTGTACTACATTTGTTGTAAATATTTACCATATTTCAGCAATTGTGTTACGTATAATAAAATATAGAACGCGAATAATTAAATCCCTTAAACTATTATAGAAGTACTGAGGGAACAGTCCACTTTGATGTGGCAGCCATTTTGTTTTTATTCCGACTCCCCTCTCCCCGCCACCCTACCCATTTAATTGTTGCAAATATTTCTAATCTTTCAACAGTTTTGTTACGTTTATTTATTGGCGATTAAATTTGGCTGAAAAAACGACAACGATTTGTCAAATTATACAACGATTGATAGTAAATTACGCGCAAAAACTGCAAATGTAGGGTCGGGCATATCAATGACGCCATAATCTTTTGCATTAGATTTACAGCAATAGAATTAGGAATCATAGTGAATAATTAAATAAATACTAATGAAAACAGATTAGAAACCGATAATCGATAATGTGGTTGATGTAAAAGTAACTTTTTGGCGAAAATTTGTACGACTTACCTCGACAATGTATGGCATCGGAATGAACATATCTGCAGTGTGAAGCCAACCACTGCCACCAGACGCCTACACTGCGCATGCGTGAGAAAGGCTCGATTAAGAGGGCGCGCGCTTATTTAAAACACAGTAACATGAGAAAAAATAATTTAATTACTATATAAACAATTTTTTAATGATAAATTTTATAATTTAATGTTTTTTAAATGAATAAAGCAGAATAATGAAAAATATAGGTAAGTATAGACTACGCTATTTAATTACGCTCGTTCTCTTTTCTTTTCAAGATAATGAGTTTAAAGTAGCTATAATTGCAACTAAGCCCGCCAAAAATTGACCACTTTGTAATAATCTCCTTTCCAAAAAGAAATATTTTTTAATGCAAGGTAACCGCAAAGTTTTTTTTATTATTATTATATTATTATTATTATTATTTTATTATTGTTATTGCTCTACAATGGTTAAAAATAGCAATGAGACGGAAACCAATTTTTAGAAAATAGAAACGAAAAAATAGTTTGGAAAATCTCTAACAAAAAATAAATTGATTGCTTTCTGTGAAATTGAAATTTTTTCATTTCTAAATAAATAATAGTCCATCATATAATTTACATAAATAAATGCTTAAAAAAACTGAAACGTGACTATCAGAGATATGACGCAGTCGACAGTGAAATTGGATAGAATTTATTCGCTTTATTATTTTCAGTACAAATACTAGAAAAATAATTTAATAATTACTGGAATAATTTAATTTCTTCCTACAAATATGTATATATTCATGATAATACGTACTAAAGTGATTTAAAAACAAAAAATTTAGATAGTTAGTTTGAAAAAAACTATTAACATAAAAAATGTTTGAAGGACAAGTGTTATTTTTTTGAAATTTTTAAGTGGGACTTTATGCTACTTGTTAGGGTTATGTTTGGATTGAATATAAAATAGAAATATTATTTGAATTTTAAAATAAAAAAAAGAAAAACTATGGTAAAAAACTGTTGTTAAAGAAAAATGAAATAGAGTAATTTAAAATTGTTAAAAATTGAAAAAATGAAACGTTAAGAAAAATTAAAAAAATCCCTCTCCTCATTATTGATTCTTATCAATAGTGATAATAAGAATTAATGAGGAGGTCCCTTCTCCCCTTATTTAGCCATAAGGGGCCAGTACGCATGAAAGCTTGCAATCAAGTAAACTTGAAGACCCGATATGCCGCCTCTAGGGTGCAGAACAGAGTGTCCCCACTTCCTCGAGGGCTGCCAGGCGCGAATATAATTTTTTTTTTTTTGAATCGTTGATTTGTTGATGAAGACGGTGAACAAACAAAGTTAACGAAGTTGCGACGATAACGACAATAAGGAAGGCGTCGAATGATGAAAACGTCTAGAAAATTTAATCTGAAAATAAAAAAGAAAATATATATATTACTAATTACTTTCAACTAATTACTACTTGATTTAAATATAATAATTTTAATACTTACTTTTCCTATAACGGAAAGTGGCTTCGTCAAATGGTGCTTCCTTGGGGATTATTCCCTCATCGATGAGTCCCACGTTTAGAATATTTCGTCCACCGTTAATGTCACGTTCCCAGGTAGTGCGGCATTTATTACACTGCAGAAATCTGTGAGGACTCTTGGATTTTATCACATCAAAGCAGCAATTGCTGCACAGCGCAGTCGTGTGATACTCATTTACTTTGACGAATTTCAAGCGTTTGTCACCAAGTTGTTTTGCTCGATTAACAAACGTTCTCTTCAATTGATTCAACGCTGTACCAACGTAGCCACGTGTAAAGTTTGGTAATGATGCATTACCAAAAGCCACAAAACAAGGTTTTTGAAAAGTGTCTCCAATTAGGAAATTCACCAATTTTTCACATTCCCTCTGACACGAAACATATTTGTCCATTTTTAATCGCACCACACATTTTTGCTCGTGCAACTCTTGAAATCTTTGGAATAGATTCAGCTTATACTCGATGATTCTCTTGTAATCTCGCGAATTGGTTTTTGAAAAATTGGCCATTTTTTCTGGAATTTTAAGCACGTACTGTTTGTAATATTTTTGAAGATCTAGACCAAATTCCTTTTTCCTTTCCCTTCTTCTGAAATCATTCATCTGCCAACGAAAACTGCTGCTCTTTAAATAAATGTGATTATCCTTCAATTTGTCTTCCATTGACGGTTGTGCACTACGAACTCTTCTTACACCACCCAATGTCGCCTTCTTGCCGGGATCGAAACCATAAAAGACTTTGAAACGAGTTTCCGAAGCAGGGCCTTCCTTTTCTTTAACAGATTCCATTTTTGGAACATTAAATATTATTGAAGCATCGACGCCATTTGTTGTCATCACTTCAGCAAATGCACCAACTTTGCCCCTTTCCGCGCTGGAAATGTCAAACATGTACTCCCATCTTTGAATTTTATTCTTGATTTGTAAAAATCGATTGATTTCTACATTCTTGCAAGTTTTTGCCTCTTTGATTTGAAGTTGCTTCTGTTGAAAAGGAATTGACTGCCGCCTTATCTGCAATTCTTTTTTCAAAAATACATCCTGCTCGGCACCCCTCTTTAAATCTTCCAGACCTGTATTGGAATACAATACATGTGCAATGCCGAGTTGAGCTTGCGGTACAAGAACAAAATTGTGAATATTGTTGTCGTGAAAGTATTGTTGAACACGTATCATGAATGGAATGAATTTTGTCCATTCAGAATTGCGATCATCTTCCTCACCATCGTCGTTCACGTCTCGTTTCATGTTTTGAAAATTCAACTTTTCTTGGGGATTCAGAAAATTACTAAATTCGGCAATGTCGCAATCATTGTTGTTGAGAAGATTTTCAACAACTTGAATAGCTTCTTTTCTCGTGCTAAAAGTGTTGTTGCGAATATTCCTGGCAAATATTCCACACCTATAAGAAAATTTAAAAATTGCAATCTTATTTAAAATTAAGAAATTTTAATTAATTAATTTTTTAAAATTATTATTATTTTCAACAATTTTTAACTAAAATTCTTCTTTAAATCAATTTTACGAAATTTAAAAAAAATTCATTTAACATATTTCAAAAAAATCAATTTCAAAATTCAATTATTTATAAAAATTTACGCTATACAGCTTTTAATATTCAATTATTTAAATACAAAAATAATTCATTGTCTTAACATTTAATTCTCATAAAGAATTTTACCAACAAATTTTTCAATTGATGACGAATTTTAATAAAATTTTTAAGAATTTGAATTACATTTTTCGAAGAATTCGTTTAAAATTGTATTAGAAATAATTGAAATTATTTCAGAAAAAAATGAAATTCTCACGAAGATTTTTACAAAAAATTTTTAAATAATTAATTCTGTTTGGAAATTTTGTAAAAATAGTAGATATTGAAAATTATTGAATTGCGAAAAGTTTTTAAAAATAATTTAATTTTACAAAGAATTCTATTGTTATTCTTATTATTTACGAAAATAATTGAATTCTTTCGAACGATTTAATGAGAATTTTTTTTAAATAATTGAATTTCCAAGAAAAAATGCATTACTTTTAAAAATAATTGAATTCTTGTAATGAATATTATTGTTATTTATGAGGAAATGTTATTTCGCGAGGAATTAAAATTAAATTTTTAACAATAATTACATTTTTGTTACCAATTTCTGTAATATTGTATTAAAAATAATTAAATTATTAAAATTTTCAAAAATATTTGAATTCCTGAATTTATATTATTTATTTAAAATAATTGAATTATTGCGAAAAAATTTATTAAAATGTTTAAAAAGAATTAAATTTGTGTGAAAAATTTTGTTATTTCAGAAAATAATTGAATTCTTTATACGAATTTTATAAAAATTGTGAAAATTTTATTTTAATTAATTGGATTCTTCTGGAAAACTTTATTTTTGAAAACTTTACTATTAATTTTTTACTAAAAATTTGTAAAACTAATTGTTACTAATTCCCTGACATTTCCCGGTTTTCCAGGTGTTGTTGACACCCTGTCAATTACCAATTTTTCTCAAATTTTTTTTTTATAAAATTTCTGCTACACTGTAAAAAATGCCAGAATATAAATGTTACCTGAAAAGGTAACATAACCTTTATTAGATTATTTTACACGGTGGGACAGTGTAATTCGCATAAATTTGACGACATTTGAAAAAAAGTGTAAAATTACACTGTCTGACGGTGGAAAAAAGTGACCATCTGTTGGAAGGGTTTATTAATAACGTATTATAAATAAACAATAAACAGCATTGATATAACATAGAAATAGAAATTTGTTAAATTCAGGCTAATTCACACTCCGCATTGGTAATTTTACACCAATCGGGTTTTTTTTACTGCGAGGTTGTAAAATAACACATTATAATTTAGGTTATATTAATACGTGGGACGGTGTAAAATTACTCTGGCATTTTTTACAGTGTATAAAATTTTTGAGTTTGTTTAATTTGAAAAAAGCAAATTTTTGTCAATAATGTCTAAACACAAATAAAATAAGTTGAAACTTACGTTTTAAAACAATTCTTGAGAGAAACGATGGCGAGAAACGGTTGCGAGAAAAGGTGGCGAGAAAAGGTGGCGAGAAACGGTAGCGAGAAACGGTGGCGACAAAGGATGGCGACATACGGTGGCGAGAAACGGTGGCGACAAAGGATGGCGAGAAACGGTGGCGATCGTTTTTGGTTGACGATGACCATAAGGAATTACAAACAAGTTTGACTCCAGAATCTGAAAAAAAATATGTTTGTTTTACTCTGAAAACGAATTGACAAACATAATATTTCACTGTGAATTAATTAATTAATAAAGGTTAATTTCCCAACATCTTTTTTTTTTTTTTGCAGCAATGTCACGACGGTGAAATAACTTTTATTTATATAGAATCTTCTCACTTGTGAAAAGAAAAATAATTTTTTTTACAAATAAATTTTTGAACAGAAATATATTAATTCAAATATATTAACAAAAATATTCTAATTAAAATACATATAGTTATTAAAAGTAAATTAATTAAAAAATCCGATTTAATTTTAAGTATATTAATAAAAAACAATTTATAAATATTTATTCGAATTAATAATAAATAAAAAATTTTAAATATTTCGGAAATTCAATTAGAAATTGAAAAACAAATTTGCAAATAAAATTTTTAATTCAACTAAAAAAAATGGTAAAATCGAAAAGAAATAATAAACTGATTGTTGTGCACACGCGCAGTACAAGCAATATGAAATTTGAAAATGGCTTTTTTTTCCTGTTCTCGTAAGCTCGTAAAATCTACACTTTCTAATAATTTTATAAATTGTTCTAATAAAAAAAAAAATTATTTATTATTTAATAAATATAACCTCAATTACCAATTTTTGTCTAATTTTTTTAAAATAAAATTTCTGCTATACAATTTTTGAGTTTGTTTAATTTGATAAAATAAGCAAATTTTTGACAATAATGTCTAAACAAATAAAAAAAGTTGAAACTTACGTTTTAAAACAATCCTTGAGAGAAACGATGGCGAGAAACGGTGGCAAGAAATGGTGGCGAGAAACGGTGGCGACAAAGAGTGGCGAGAAATGGTTGCGAGAAACGGTGGCGAGAAACGCTGGCGATCATATACAGTTGACGATGACCATAATGGTCATTACAAACAAATTAATTTCACTCGAGAATCTGAAAAAAATATGTTTCATTTACTCTGAAAACGAATTGACAAACATAATATTTCACTGTGAATTAATTAATTAATTAATAGAGGTTAATTTCCGAACATCTTTTTTTTTGCAGCAATGTCACAACGGCGAAATAACTTTTATTTATATTCTTCTCACTTGTGAAAAGAAAAATAATTTTTTTTACAAATAAACTTTTTAAACAGTAATATATTAATTCAAATATATTAGTTCAAATATTTTGCTAAAAATATATTAATTCAAATATATGAACAAAAATATACTAATGAAAATATGTATAGTTATTAAAAGTAAATTAATTTAAAAATCCGATTAAATTTTAAATATATATTTATTGGAATTAATAATAAATAAAAAATTTTAAATAATTCGGAAATTCAATCAGAAATTGAAAAACAAATTTGCAAATAAAATTTTTAATTGAACTAAAAAAAATGGTGAAATCGGAAAGAAATAATAAACTGATTGTTGTGCACACGCGCAGTACAAGCAATATGAAATTTGAAAATGGCTTATTTTTTTCCTGTTCTCGTAAGCTCGTAAAATCCACACTTATAAAATCTACACATTTTATAAATTGTTCTATATTTACAATAAAAAAAACACAATGATTTATTATTTAATAAATATAACCTCAATTACCAATTTTTGTCTAATTTTTTTTTAATAAAATTTCTGCTACAAAATTTTTGAGTTTCTTTAATTTGATAAAATAAGCAAATTTTTGACAATAATGTCTAAACAAATAAAAAAAGTTGAAACTTACGTTTTAAAACAATCCTTGAAAGAAAAACGGTAGCGAGAAACGATGGCGAGAAAGGGTGGCGAGAAACGGTGGCGAGAAACGGTGGCGAGAAACGGTGGCGAGAAACGGTGGCGATCGTTTTTGGTTGACGATGACCATAAGGAATTACAAACAAGTTTGACTCCAGAATCTGAAAAAAAATATGTTTGTTTTACTCTGAAAACGAATTGACAAACATAATATTTCACTGTGAATTAATTAATTAATAAAGGTTAATTTCCCAACATCTTTTTTTTTTTTTTGCAGCAATGTCACGACGGTGAAATAACTTTTATTTATATAGAATCTTCTCACTTGTGAAAAGAAAAATAATTTTTTTTACAAATAAATTTTTGAACAGAAATATATTAATTCAAATATATTAACAAAAATATTCTAATTAAAATACATATAGTTATTAAAAGTAAATTAATTAAAAAATCCGATTTAATTTTAAGTATATTAATAAAAAACAATTTATAAATATTTATTCGAATTAATAATAAATAAAAAATTTTTAATATTTCGGAAATTCAATTAGAAATTGAAAAACAAATTTGCAAATAAAATTTTTAATTCAACTAAAAAAATGGTAAAATCGAAAAGAAATAATAAACTGATTGTTGTGCACACGCGCAGTACAAGCAATATGAAATTTGAAAATGGCTTTTTTTTCCTGTTCTCGTAAGCTCGTAAAATCTACACTTTCTAATAATTTTATAAATTGTTCTAATAAAAAAAAAATTATTTATTATTTAATAAATATAACCTCAATTACCAATTTTTGTCTAATTTTTTTAAAATAAAATTTCTGCTATACAATTTTTGAGTTTGTTTAATTTGATAAAATAAGCAAATTTTTGACAATAATGTCTAAACAAATAAAAAAAGTTGAAACTTACGTTTTAAAACAATCCTTGAGAGAAACGATGGCGAGAAACGGTGGCAAGAAATGGTGGCGAGAAACGGTGGCGACAAAGAGTGGCGAGAAATGGTTGCGAGAAACGGTGGCGAGAAACGCTGGCGATCATATACAGTTGACGATGACCATAATGGTCATTACAAACAAATTAATTTCACTCGAGAATCTGAAAAAAATATGTTTCATTTACTCTGAAAACGAATTGACAAACATAATATTTCACTGTGAATTAATTAATTAATTAATTAATAGAGGTTAATTTCCGAACATCTTTTTTTTTGCAGCAATGTCACAACGGTGAAATAACTTTTATTTATATTCTTCTCACTTGTGAAAAGCTCACTTGTGAAAAGAAAAATAATTTTTTTTACAAATAAATTTTTGAACAGAAATATATTAATTCAAATATATTAGTTCAAATATTTTGCCAAAAATATATTAATTCAAATATATGAACAAAAATATAATAATTAAAATATGTATAGTTATTAAAAGTAAATTAATTTAAAAATCCGATTTAATTTTAAATATATATTTATTCGAATTAATAATAAATAAAAAATTTTAAATATTTCGGAAATTCAATCAGAAATTGAATAACAAATTTGCAAATAAAATTTTTAATTGAACTAAAAAAAATGGTGAAATCGGAAAGAAATAATAAACTGATTGTTGTGCACACGCGCAGTACAAGCAATATGAAATTTGAAAATGGCTTATTTTTTTCCTGTTCTTGTAAGCTCGTAAAATCTACATTTTCTAATCATTTTATAAATTGTTCTATATTTATAATGAAAAAAAGACAATGATTTAGTATTTAATAAATGTAACCTCAATTACAATTTTTGTCTAATTTTTTTTTTATAAAATTTCTGCTATATAATTTTTGAGTTTGTTTAATTTGAAAAAAAATCAAATTTTTAACAATAATGTCTAAACAAATAAAAAAAGTTGAAACTTACGTTTTAAAACAATCCTTGAGAGAAACGGTAGCGAGAAACGATGGCGAGAAATGGTGGCGACAAAGGATGGCGAGATACGGTGGCGACAAAGGGTGGCGAGAAACCTACTTCTGTCTTTTTCTATCTCGTGCTGTCGTTCCGTTTCCGTTTTAGGCTATACAGCAAATGACAGAAAATTTTTTTTACAATTGAAAAAGATTGTAAAACAAATCACAATTTTTCTAAAAATAATGAACCAATTTATATATTATAAATTAGGATGAAATCAGTCAAGTCAAGTTAATGTAAACGATTAATGTAAAAAGTTCTCAAGACAAATTTTGTCTTGTTGATTGTCGTCACGGAAATCAGCAAAAAAATTGTATTCACCTATATTGCAATTAAAACGTGTAATTTCAATAAAAATCTCGTACTGACTATTAAATATAAACAAATAAAAGGATGTTAAAATTACGATTAGATTTTAATTGAGCACAACACAAAATTCTGCCACCACGCACGAGAGTAATGAGGATAAAAATGCCGGCCGGATGCCGGAAAACGGAAAAAAGAAAATGGCGGCACATTGTAGTAGGTGGCGCGCTGGGCGGTTTCGACTTCCGGAATTTAAATATTTTAACTTGTCTATTGACAATTTCATTTTTCTTTTTTTATTGTTAGATATAAAGAGTATTCAAGATTATTTACGAGGATAAAAAATATTTAGCAGATAATTAAAAACTTGAGAATAAAATAATACTATAAGGCTGATTTTTATTTTTTAGTTTGTTATTTTTAAAAATATTGTTGGCTAAAATAAAGACAAAATTTATCCTGACCTCCTATACTCACTTGCAAAAATCAAAATTTTATGAAATTAATCCTAATTTACAGTTATTTTTTATATATTGTTAATGAATTTACACTACGACTATTAAACACGTAATTTGGTGAGGTAATATTTTGCAAACATTTTGTATTTATTAATTAATTTGTTTCACTTTTGTACAACATTGTTGTAAATATTTACCATATTTTAGCAATTGTGTTACGCATAATTATGTATAATAAAAATAATTAAATCCCTTAAAGTATTATAGAAGCACTTTCTAAGTGGAACAGTCCACTTTGATGTGGCAGCCATTTTGTTTTATTCCGACTCCCCTCTCCCCGCCACCCTACCCATTTAATTGTTGCAAATATTTCAAATCTTTCAACAGTTTTGTTACGTTTATTTATTGGCGATTAAATTTGGCTGAAAAAACGACAACGATTTGTCAAATACGATTGATAGTAAATTACGCGCAAAAACTGCAAATGTAGGGTCGGGCATATCAATGACGCCATAATCTTTTGCATTAGATTTACAGCAATAGAATTAGGAATCATAGCGAATAATTAAATAAATACTAATAAAAACAGATTAGAAACAGATAATAGATAATGTGGTTGATGTAAAAGTAACTTTTTGGCGAAAATTTGTACGACTTACCTCGACAATGTATGGCATTGGAATGAACATATCTGCAGTGTGAAGCCAACCACTGCCACCAGACGCCTACACTGCGCATGCGTGAGAAAGGCTCGAATAAGAGGCGCGCGCTTATTTAAAACACAGTAACATGAGAAAAAATAATTTAATTACTATATAAACAATTTTTTAATGATAAATTAATTATATTTATATCTAACGTTTCATAATTTAATATTATTTAAATGAATAATTGCCGACGATTAGTAGAAAGTTAATATTTGATGAAAATAATTTTTTTTACTGTTATTACACAGAAAGTAAATATTTATTACAATTTATTTATTTAAATTATGCATTTTCAATTAAATATTTATTTAATAACTCTTAGTTAAATAAATTGTAATTAATAAATTAATTATAATAATAAATTAATAATTATTATATTAATTTTAATAAATTTATTAACTCTCAATTAAATAAATTATAGTTAAATAAATTATAATTATTAAATTAATTGTAATAATTAATTAATAATTATAATTACTAATTATTATTATTAAACATTTAAATTATTAAACACTTTCGAAGTAAACTTTGCTTTAAATCATCATAATTGCAAAAACAAGCATTTTAAAATATTCATTTTTCAAACTTTTAAAAGTAATGAATATCAGAATATAATAATTAGGTATTAGATTTTTTTTACTTATTGACAATAGTTATTAAAAGATAAAAAATCTGAATAATTTCAGGTTCAAAATTTTAAAAAATTCAAATATTAATATTAATAATATAATAATAATTATATTATTATTATTATTATTATTATTATTATTATTAAATTATTATTTATATATATAATATAATATTATATTATTTGATATAATCAAAATTTGCATTATTCACTAAAACTTGAATAACCTAACTAAATAATAATAATTAATATTAATAATATTTTTAATAATGGGAGGAATGCATTATTACTTTTTCTAACGATTACTCATAAGTAATGATTCATTGGAATTTTTTAGTTTAATACGTTCATTTTGCAGTTTATCATTATCGCGGTCAAGGTAGTAGAAAAATGTGATTCATTCATCAAATACAATTTTATCCAACAATGCAATTTTCATTTTTGACTTTCTTTACCATAATATAATAAATTGATGTTTTATCTATGTACATCAACTTAGCGAAACAACTTCAAAATTTTAAAGTCGCATATAGTTGATAATTTGCCGTTTTTTTGTCGCTAATTAGTTTTGGAAAAAAAAATTTTGTCGCTCCTTAATTTTTTTTAATAATGGGTGTTTTGCTAAGTTTATATAAAGTTAGCGAAGCACCCATAGAAAAATGATAATTACAAATATTCACTGAGTTACTCTTCACAGGAATTTGCCGTTTTTTTGCCGCTGAACAATAAGCTACTTCATTTTACAAAAAAATTAAAATTAAAAAAAAAAAAATTTTTTTTGAATAGGCATTAAATTTTTTTTTTTTAAAAAACTTCAAAAAATAAAAAAAAGAGAACTTGAATTAAAAAAAAGAATCAGCAAATTATATCATTATATTTAGTAACAAAATTAGTCCAACGACAAATTCCTAGCTAAAAATAATAAACAAAAAATATAAACTTTTAAGGAAAATCACTTTTTTGCAAAATTTATCGTTAATTTTTAATTAAAAAATGTTTAAACAATTTAAATCTTTAACGATAAAATTAAAATCATCATTTCCTAACTAAATAAGTCCAACGACAAATTCCTAGCTAAAAAAAATAAACAAAAAATATAAACTTTTGAGGAAAATCACTTTTTTGCTAAATTTATCGCTAATTTTTAATTAAAAAATGTTTAAACAAATTAAATCTTTAACGATAAAATTAGAATCATCATTTCCTAACTAAATAAGTCCAACGACAAATTCCTAGCTAAAAATAATAAACAAAAAATAAAATTTTTTAAGGAAAAATTGTTGTTCTTTTAATTGGAAATTTCAGCGCAGTAAGAATTATTAATTAAAAATTTAATGCCAATATCATTCATTAATGAATGGTATAGTATTTTTTTAAGATAATATTTCTCTACTTTAGGTGATGCGGTCTTCGGCGGCGAAAATGTCAAAATAGGTTTTGCAAAATTATAAAAGAAATTAATATAAAGCATTATCTTGTTTAAATAAATTTCTTCTCCTTATAGAATGAACCATAAAAATTAATTTTCTTAAAGTACATAAATATATATCCACCAATATTTACATATTATTTGTTTTAATTAATTTATATTAAAAAAATTGAAGTTTCCCCTCCAAGGGTCCATCGATTAAGGCTTTAAATGCGAAAATTGGGCCTTCTAGAAGACCGAAAAGGAGTCCAGAAGGCTTAAACGTTTTATCATTAATGATTTTCATGTAAAAAATGTCAATACATTTTCATCAATGATCAATAGAATTGGAAGGAAATTTCATAAATTACGCAATTCTTCTGAATGTTTATTTTTATATATGCATATTTTGGAAAGCTTCTTACAATTCAAGGAAACATAACACTCATTAAAATAGTAAGTTTAAAGTGAAAATTTTAACTAATCACTAAACATATATAATTTTTTTTAACATAGGCGGAAAAAGTTGGAAATACTGGATATATGATAGAATGGCATAAACTGCCAAGAAATATTTCTTTGGAATTTTCATTTTTCATTCAAGTTTGTCAATTTCCAATCGGAGTCACCGCTGGAAAAGTCGTTTTTCTGTCTATGACAACGTTTAACGCAGTTAGTTTATTTTTAAATTTATAATTTCTTTTTATACATTTAATCATAATATTAAAGTAATTGCATAAATTCAATAGTCTGGAAAATATTGCACCGAAACTTGCAGCAGTATTGCCATTTTCTCAAAATTTCCAATATTCCTGCAAATTTCAGTGTCTGCAATTTCAAAACTCAATAAAATTGCGTATTAATTAAACACACATAGAGCGTTATTTAAACACCAAATGTATTGCGAAGCAACGTTTCGATTCGTTTTTTTGTTTCACTTTGATATCCTTAAAAATACTGCTATTATTTAGAATTCCTAATGATTTATTATTTTTTTCAGATAATTAAATTAGCCGCAGCCTATTTAAATATTATATGAAAAATGTAAAACAGAATTAAGATTTTTTATTCCATTGGAAAAAATTGTTTAAAACTTTTACTGTAGATTAAAGATATTTTTTTCTAAATCACTTAAATATTTGTTCGTTTCTTTTAAACTTTGATAATGTTACGTAACTATTGAAAAAACATAACTGTAAAGTTACAATTTTCCTTAAAGTCTAGAATTGTTTTATTCTTGTTCTTTGCTTGTCAAACAATTTTAAAATACTATTGTTTTTCTCATATACTTTGAAATTAAAACTTTTATAATTTAATTATAAATTTAATTAAACGATCACTCTGAGTCAACAATCCACTTGTACCTCCCGAATATCACTGGTTTGAACGACGTCTTGCCTCGAAGAACTCACGCATGGCCATCATGATTACCTCATCCGGTAAACCGCGTAATGCTTGGGCCAGTTCTCTCGTCTGATCTACAAGGCGATCAGCCGCATCCATGCTCGAAGGTAGAGATGGTACAACTCCACCAATGGCTCCTTCCATTTGGACTTCAACTGTAGGAACGCTGGCTGTAGGAACGCTGGCTGTAGGAATGCTGGCTGTAGGAACGCTGGCTGTAGGAATGCTGGCTGTAGGAACGCTGGCTGTAGGAACGCTGGCTGTAGGAACGCTGGCTGTAGGAATGCTGGCTGTAGGAACGCTGGCTGTAGGAACGCTGGCTGTAGGAACGCTGGCTGTAGGAATGCTGGCTGTAGGAACGCTGGCTGTAGGAACGCTGGCTGTAGGAACGCTGGCTGTAGATGTGGTGGCCTCCGCATGGATTGATAGCGACCTCTTCTTTTGCACCTTTTTCATCCGACCATCTCTAAATAGTTCGTAATTGCGCTTACCGAATTTTTTCAACATTTTGGCAATATGTATTTCTGAACAACGAGGGCAGGTTGTAAGAGTGACGCCTCGCCTACCGCAATTTCGGCAATAGCCTTTGTATGGATTTGGGCACTTGCTCCGCTCGTGTCCCTTCTCCCAACAACTAATACAAGAGTTTGGGGGGGGATCAACACGAGGGTCGGTTGGAATTCGTTTTAAGTCTCCAAACATCACTCCTCTTGTTATAATCGGTAGTTTAACGTTGGAATTTTTTTGCTTTTTATCTGCATTTAACATCAAGCTCGCCAATTCTAACGCCACATTTGGATCACGATTGGGAAGTCCTGGTGGAGTGTGGGGTCGCTCAGGTGAAGGTGTTCTATTTTTGCTCACATAATTATCCGGAAACAAAATATTGGTGCGAATATCGCGTATAGCCTTCACTTGCTCATCCCGCAATCGTTCTCTTTCCCTCGATGTCGTTGGCTCTTGTTCTTGTAAATACTTCTCCAATTCCTCTACTGCTAATCTATTCTCCCACTCCAGCTCGTTCTCTCCCAATCTTCTAGCCGGCGATATTGGACGTCGAGCCAGGCCTCGACCAGCAACAGCTGCCATGCTGCGATGGTGCCGAAATGGTGTTGTGGTTGGTGGTTGATGTGGGACATTTTCCCACTGGATCAAGTCCTCGCTGGCCTCCGTCACTACTTCAGGACTCACCTCCTCTTCCCCCGACTGATGAACATCCCCTGGACGACGTTCCGATGACTCGGCTCTAAATTTGGAAAAGCCTCGTCCTCGGAATCTGGCTGGAGCTTTTTTGTCCGACATTATCTAAACAAATCACACATAAACAAAAATCAAATGCTGGTAAAAAAACAAATAAAAAAATAAACAAGATAAAAAAAAACAAAAATTTATAATTCTATTTAAAATTAGCAACGCTGGAAAAATAAAAATAAATTAATTTCATCTAAATATTAAAATTTTTCTATAAAATTCAATTATTTTCAAAAATTTTAATTAAATTCTTTTTAACAAACTCAATTTTTTTCAAAAATTCACCTTTAGTCAATGATTTTCAATATCTACTATTTTAATAAAATTTTCCAAAAGAAATGAATTATTTTAAAATTTTTTTATAAATTTCTTCGCAATAATTATATTATTTTCAAAAATATTCAATTTATGTTTACAGAGATTCAATTACTTTTATAAATATGTAATACAATTTTTTACAGGGATACAATTATTATTTTCATAGATAATAAAACTCATTACAGAATTTCAATTATTTTTGATACAATTTCAGGGTTGCCACGCTTTTGTTCATTTCAAATTCCCTGACTTTTCCAGGTTTTCCAGGTTAAAAAACGGAATTTTTCCAGGTTTTTACAACTACATTTATATTTTACAAAATTTTTAATTCAAACCTTTTTGAAATGAAACATGTTATAAAACATAAAAATATCGATCACTCCGAGTCTTCGACTCGGAGCAATCGATATCTTCATGTTTTATAATATATAATTCAAAATGTTGAACTGATAAAATCATCATTTTATACCTATTATTATTATAAGAATATTGTTACTGTAATTTATTCAAAATTACTTTCATTATTTTAATTCAATTATTGTTTTCCACAATTTTTAACTAAAATTCTTCTTTATAAAGTGTAAATTAATTATTATTAATAATTTCTGAAAAATTTCTTTCAACATTTTCAAATCCTTTTGTTTACAATTCAATTTTACGAAATTTCATCGATTATTCAGGTATTCGGAAATTCTTCAATCAAATATATATTAGATAATAAAAACTTTAAATAACTTCAAAAAAATGCAATTCAACTTTTACAAAAAAAATTAAATCTACACAATTTTAAGTTAAAAATATGAAAAATTCAAACATTCAAAGATTATAATTTGAGACCTGCTTTTCAAAACTCAATTATTATCTATAGTTTTAAGTGAAATTCATATTTGAATCAATTATTATTAGAAAATTCTACGACAATTCAATTATTATTTAAATGAAAAAAAGATAATTTATTGAAGAATTGAATGTTTTTTAAAATTGAACTCTCATTTAAAGAATTTTATCAACAAATTTTTAAATAGGTAATTAAAAGTCTTTTCACAAATTTCAATAACATTTTTAAGAATAATTTCATTTTTCGAGAAATTAGATTAAAAATGTATTAAAAACAATTGAATCTATGTAAAAAAATTTCATTGAATTGAGAAAAGTTTTTGAAAATAATTGAAATTTTGTCAAGAATTTTATTACATTTTTTTTAAATAATTGAAATATTGCCAAAAATTTTATTAACATTTTTGAAAATAATTGCATTTTTGAGAAAAATTTTAATATTTATTTTTATAAATATTAAAATTTTTCTCTAAAATTGAAATTTGGACTATAACTTTTTTTAAACTTTTGACCATAATTGAATTTCTGCTAAGAATTTTATTACTTTTAAAATTAATTGAATTCTTGAGACGAATTCTTTAATAATATTTCTTTTTAAATACCTAATTATTTTTAATACAAAAATAAATCATTTATTGAATAATTGAATGTTTCTCAAACATATCAATTCTCATAAAGAATTTTATTAACAAATTTTTAAATAATTGAATTCTTTTGGCGAATTTTAATATAATTTTTAAGTTTTTAAGTTTTTTAACTTATTATTATTTTTCTGTAGAAATTAAGATTTTAAAAAAAATTTTGAAATTTAAAAACTTACATGAATATTATTTTAAATATTAAGAAGTCTTTGACTCGGAGTGATCAATTTATTATTTGTTTAAGAATTAAAGATAACCTAGGGATAAAATTATTATTTTATATAAGAATATTGTTACTCTAATTTTTTATAAATTATTTTTATCATTTAAATTCCAATATTATTTTCTAGAATTGTTTTCAAGAATTTATTTTTAAATAAATTATTATTCAATTACCAATTTTTGTCCAATTTTTTTTTTATAAAATTTCTGCTATAAAATTTTTGAGTTTGTTTAATTTAAAAAAAAGCAAATTTTTGACAATAATGTCTAAACAAATAAAAAAAGTTGAAACTTACGTTTTAAAACAATCCTTGAGAGAAAAACGGTAGCGAGAAACGATGGCGAGAAAGGATGGCGAGATACGGTGGCGAGATACGGTGGCGACAAAGGATGGCGAGAAACGGTTGCGAGAAACGGTGGCGATCGTATACGGTTGAAAGAAATTAATATGACCCCAGAATCTGAAAAAAAATATGTTTGTTTTATTCTGAAAACGATTTGACAAACATAATATTTAACTGTGAATTAATTAATTAATAGAGGTTAATTTCCGAACATTTTTTTTTTTTTTGCAGTAATGTCACAACGGTGAAATAACTTTTATTTATATAGATTCTTCTCACTTGTGAAAAGAAAAATAATTTTTTTACAAATAAAGGACCCTGCACAAAAAGTACAGAATTTGGTTCCCGGTCAAATTTGTTTTGGATTTTAGATTTATGTTTGAGTTAAAGTAATTTGGAACAAATATAAACAAATAAATATTAACAAATTTGACCGGGAACCAATTTATGTACTTTTTGTGCGTCGTCCATTTTGAACAGAAATAATTATATTAATTCAAATATATTAACAAAAATATTCTAATTTTAATACACATAGTTATTAAAAGTAAATTAATTAAAAAATCCGATTTCATTTTAAGTATATTAATAAAAAAAAATTTGTAAATATTTATTCGAATTAATAATAAATAAAAAATTTTTAATATTTCGGAAATTCAATTAGAAATTGAAAAACAAATTTGCAAATAAAATTTTTAATTGAACTAAAAAAAATGGTAAAATCGAAAAGAAATAATAAACTGATTGTTGTGCACACGCGCAGTACAAGCAATATGAAATTTGAAAATGTCTTATTTTTTTCCTGTTCTCGTAAGCTCGTAAAATCTACACTTTCTAATCATTTTATAAATTGTTCTAATAAAAAAAAAACACAATGATTAAATATTTTTGTCTAATTTCTTTTAAATAAAATTTCTGCTATAAAATTTTTGAGTTTGTTTAATTTGAAAAAAAGCAAATTTTTGTCAATAATGTCTAAATAAATAAAATAAGTTGAAACTTACGTTTTAAAACAATCCTTGAGAGAAAAACGGTTGCGAGAAACGGTGGCGATAAACGGTGGCGATAAACGGTGGCGATAAACAGTGGCTTTTCTGCTAACAAAGGACATACAAAAATTTGTAAAATTCTTTTAATTGAAGGAGCTGATGTGAATGCTAAGCAGAAGAATTCAGAAATCGCATTGCACATTGCAAGTCGAAATGATTATACAGAAATTATAAAATTATTATTAGAATTTGGTGCCGATGTTGATTCTAAAACAATTGATTATGCTAAGACACCACTTCATCTTTGTACTAAAATGGGAAACAAGGAAACTTGTGAAATTCTTTTGAATAGAGGAGCAGATGTAAACGCAAAGGATTGGGAATCATGCACTGCTTTGTACTTTGCAGTTCAAAACGGTTTTGAAGAGGTTGTAAAATTATTGCTAGAATTTGGTGCCGAAGTTGATTCTAAAAATAAGTATGCCAAAGAAACTGCACTTTACTTTTGTTCCCAAAAAGGAAACAAAGTAATCTGTAAAATTCTTTTGAATAAAGGAGCTGATGTAAATGGAGTAAATAGGTCTCAAGAAACCGCTTTGCATATTGCAGCTCAAAATGGACATGAAGAAACTGTTCAACTATTGCTAGAATTTGGTGCGAAGGTTGATCTTAAAAATGATGGTGGCAACACACCATTTCATCTTTCTGCTGCAGGAGAAAATAAGAAAATCTGTGAAATGCTTTTGAATAAAGGAGCAAATATAAATGCTAAAAAAAAGAATTCAGAAACCGCATTGCACAGTGCATCTGAAAATGCTTCTGAAGAGTTTGTAAGAATGCTGCTAGAATTTGGTGCTGAATTTGATTCTAAATCTGATGATGGGCGTACACCACTTCATTTTTCTGCTAAAAGAATAAAAAAGAAAACTGTAAAATTCTTTTAAATAAAGGAGCAAATGTGAATGCTAAGCAAAAGGATTCAAAAACCGCTTTCCACATTGCAATTGAGTATGGACATAACGAGGTTGCAACAGTATTGCTGAAATGTGGTGCCGAAGTTAATTCTGAAATACCCGGACTAGGAATGACACCACTTTGTGTACATACTAGTAGAAAAAATAAAGAAATGTGCAAAATTCTGTTGAATAATGGAGCTGATGTAAATGTTATGCAAAGTAGGCGTTCATCATATTTATTTATTTATTACACTTGTTTGTGACACGAACAGTGTCTACAAGGGAGCCACGCAAAAAAGTAAGAAAAAATAAAAAAAAAAAAAAAAATAAAAAAAAGATACATAATTCTTGTCATTCCGAGACATACAAAGGGTCGTCGAGAATAGAGATAATACATCTCACGAAACGCTTGATTAGCACTCGATTATCAGAGGATAAAACATTCAGCCAGTTCTCAATAGGGGAGAGATTGTAAGAAAAATCAGCCACAAAATCTTGCACCAAATGATCGCAGGCTGGGCAAGCGATTAAAATATGAAAAAGACTCAACTCTTCCAGGTTACAGCGGGTGCAAATAGTGTCCGGGAGGAAAATAAACTTTTTTTTGTTAAAAGAAATTCGTGTAATGTGCCGGTTTAAAAGTCTGCATTGAGCAAAAATTTTCTTGAAAAAAAAGGGGATATGTAAAAGAAGATAACCTTGGGTTCCCGGTGAAATAAAAAGCTGCGGGTAAATGAGTAAGCTCTTCGAGGCAGAAAGGCAAGCTCTATCGCGTTCAACAATATAACCACCATAAGTTCTAAGGACGAACTCTCCATCAAGGCCAAAGGACTGGGAGGACATCGCGTCCCACACATCTGATAGACCACAAGGATCGAAAAAGTATCTTTTTAATTGCAGTGTCCAGTTCGATCTGCGACCCAAACCCCCTTTAGCCAACGACAACAGCTTGACAAAACACAACCTGGGGTACCGAGAATTATCCATTGAATAAAAAATTTTATTAATCCAGGTTATGGTTTGTTTCAAGACATGAAAGGCAAGATGCAAGCTGCCAGTTTCCAATCTCACAGCATAATTAGGGGTGCAGATGGGAAGGCTCAAAAGACTTTTGAGGAAAGTCAGCTGAACTCTCTCCATATCATCAAGAAAAGCCAACCCCCACACCTGACAATTATAAAAAAGAACACTGAGAGCAAGACTCTGAAATAATTTGGTACAAGCCTCCCAGGACTCAGCCCTAACAGAGTAGATCGTCCTCAGAACCGCTCCCACCGCAGTATTGGACAAGCTAATGAATTTACGCGAAGCAGGCTCGAAGGAGCCGGAACAATGAAAGGTGACGCCCAAATAAACGTATTCACTTACTACCTCAACACTGCGCTTGCCAAACCTGAAAGACCTGAATCTTCTTGCTTTAGAGTTGCCCGAGTTTGTAAATATTACAACTTTTGTCTTGTCCACATTCACAACAAGCTCATTACATTTGCAATATTCAGCTAAAGTTGCAAGCTTTTTAGCCATTTCGGAAGGCGAGTCAGCGAGAAGCACATAGTCATCCGCGTACCCAAGCATGAGTATCTCTGTCGATCTACTGACAGGGATCCCCCTGCAACCGTACTCAATAAAAAATTCATCCATATCAGAGATAAAGAGAAGAAACTCGAAAGGACTAAGTACCTCTCCCTGAAGAACGCCTCGCGTAACATGAACGTCCCCAGTTACCCCCCCTTTAGTTTTAATACAAGTTCTCGCTTTAGAATAGAAATCACGCATAATGTTAATAAACTTAGTACTAACTCCAAGCGAGAACAGTTTTTTCCACAATAAAAGGTGGGAGACAGATGGAAAGGCCCCTTTAAAATCAATAAAAGCCGCGTACAAAGCAGAACCTTTACCACTCAAGTGAATTTGAATAATAGAGGCTAAAGAAAAAACATTGTCTAGGCAACTTCTGCCTTTTCTGAACCCTGATTGTGATTCCGGAATAAGATTGCGTCTTTCAGCCCACGAAACTAAACGATTACACAAAATTTGTGTGAAAATCTTTGCAACACAATTAATTAAAGTTATAGGTCTGTAATTATCAGGGACAGATGCATCCCCCTTTTTATACAGCATAAAAGTTGATAATTTACCCCACTCTTCCGGAACCTTTTCAGCGATCAGAATTTTATTAAAAAAAACTATTTAAAAATAGGATCCAATTTTGCGGAAGGGTCTTGAGAAAGTTAAAATTAATTCCGTCGGAGCCAGGGGCCTTTCCATTTTTACATTTCCTGAGACAAATTACAATTTCATCAACAGTGATACATTGATCAAGTTCAGGGACGGATAGGGTCAGAATACAACAATCAGTCGGCGATACGGTACGAAGAGGGGGGAAACATTCACGAAGATAAGAATACCAGGTGTCAATGTCGATGTCAGAGCGAGAGTTAACACGTGTCCGAGAGGCATTAATCACCCTCCAGAACTGCTCAGAGGATCTACAATTATTAATAATTTTCAAACGATCCAGAGCAAAATTTTTTTTCTTTAATTTTAAGAGTTTCCTATGAGAGGCTTTCATTTGAAAATAATTATCACGAGCAAGAACAGAAAAATTGCTATCTTTACACACTTTAAGAGCTCGCGTTACATCTTTTTTGGAAAGCCTGCAATCTAGGTCATACCACGGATTTTTTCTTGCACTTTTGTTAGAAAAGTTATTACCACACATGCCCAGACTTAAAGCTACATCCCAAATCGTAGATACAATCGTGGAGTTTAAATTATCGACGTCGCAATTTACTTTAGCCACCTCCTCTCTGAATGCCATAGTAGATATAAACAAGTCCGTCTTATCGACATTAAAAAAAAGTTTAACAGAGCGCGAGTTAACAAATTCATGACTAGGGAGAGAAATATTTATTACAACAGGAAAGTGATCAGAAGAAGTAGACAGGTGAAGAACGTTAAGACCTAAAATAAGTGGAAGGGCAGCGGAAGAGCACCAAATCAGATCAATCACACTAGCACCCCTTGAATTAAAAAACGTAAACTGAGCCGGAACATCCCCGAGACAACGACCGTTTAATAAGACAAGTTCCTTAGATTCAAGTTGGTTAACAGTCAGTTTACCTTTAGAATTTAAAACTTTATCGACCGAAGATCTCGTATGAAACACATTGTTAACATTGTAAAAAATACATTGATCCAACTGGTTCAAGTCCGCTACCCTACAATTGAAATCGCCTCCCAAAACTATCGGAATATCGGGGCGAGACGAAATTAAGTTAAACACATTAGTATTAAAATTGTCAAAAAAATTATCTAAATTTTCGTCAGGAGCTATATAAAGTAAACACAAAAAGAAACAAAATTCATTAAAACGAGAATTAACTTTGACAAAAATTTGATTATAACTAGTAAAAAGTTCCGAGAAAATATAAAAATTAGAGTTATATGCTATAAGCAAGCCCCCCTTCGCTCTTCCATATTTATGCGACCTTGTCGCGGGTGCTTGAATAAGCTTAAAATCACTACCAAACAATGAGTTAGACACAAGCGATTCGTTCCATGTTTCACACAGACACACTATATCCTGAGAGTTAAATTGATCCTGAATTTCCGCAACATTGCTAAAACCATGCACATTCCAAAAATATATGTTGATACCTCCTCCATTCTTAACTGAAGACAAACCCTTGCAGAGTGGCTGCTAATCCTGACTGTCCAATTTCTGTTTCTTAGAATTAAGACGAGATGAGGAGCGGGGAGAATTAAGACCAGTGACCGGAGACAGATAACTGTCAATTGAATATGAGCCCGACCCATCGAACTTATTCTTGGTTGAACCATAGGGACGCCCTTTCTTAGGTTTCCCATCATCAGCAACCTCCTGAGAAGAGGCCCCGCCTAGCGAAACGCCCTTTAGAATTTCGCGTTGTGACGAAACATTGTTATCGGCAGGAGTGGGATTGTCAAGAGTGACAATTCGATTATTAGAAATTTTCACGTTGATCCCAGACTCGCGCATCTCCTTAACCTTGATCAACAGCTGACGACGATGCTCCCTCTCTTCTTTTGTGCGATCGTTCGTAACTATGAGATTTCTACTTCTCAAATCCTTAGCCTTCGAGAAGACCAATCTGACCCAACGCGCAGAAA